TGGATGCTTTAAAACTTTGAAAAAGTTTAATGAAAACTTTGACACTTTAAAAAACTTTATTGAAAACTTTGACACTTTGAAAAACATTATCGAAGTCTTTGATACTTTGTAAAACTTTATCGAAAACTTGATGAAAAACAGAAAAATTTAACACTTTGAAAAATTAAAATGTAACACTTGAAAAACTTTATCAAAAACTTTGACACTTTAAAAAACTTTATTTGATACTTTCACAAATCGAAAAACTTTATCAAAAACTTTGTAACTTTAAAAAAATTTATCTCAAACATTGAAAATTTAAAAAACTTTATCGAAAACTTGGATGCTTTGAAAAACTTTATTGAAAAGTTTTAAACGTTGAAAAACTTTATCGAAAACTTTGACACTTTGAAAAACTTGGCGAAAACTTTGACACTTTAAAAAACTTTGGCGAAAACTTTGACACATTGAAAAACTTTGACGAAAACTTTGACACTTTGAAAAACTTTGACGAAAAATTTGACACTTTGAAAAACTTTGGCGAAAACTTTGACACTTTGAAAAACTTTGGCGAAAACTTTGACACTTTGAAAAACTTTGACAAAAACTTTGACACTTTGAAAAACTTTGGCGAAAACTTGGATACTTTGAAAAACTTTATCGAAAACTTGGATACTTTGAAAAACTTTATCGAAAACTTGGATGCTTCGAAAAAACTTTATTGAAATTTTGGATGCTTTAAAACTTTGAAAAAGTTTAATGAAAACTTTGACACTTTAAAAAACTTTATTGTTGACACTTTGAAAAACATTATCGTCTTTATATAAAACTTTATCGAAAACTTGGATACTTTGAAAAACGAAAAATTTAACACTTTGAAAAACTTTGAAAAATACTTAACACTTGAAAAACTTTATCAAAAACTTTGACACTTTAAAAAACTTTATCTTAAACTTTGACACTTTGAAAAACTTTATCAAAACTTTGACACTTTAAAAAACTTTATCGCCAACATTAAAAATTTAAACAAACTTTATCGAAAACTTGGATGCTTTGAAAAACTTTATTGAAAAGTTTTAAATGTTGAAAAACTTTATCGAAAACTTTGACACTTTGAAAAACTGGCGAAAACTTTGACACTTTAAAAAATTATAAACTTTACCCATTGAAAAACGAAAACTTTGACACTTTGAAAAAGAAAACTTTGACACTTTGAAAAACTTTGACGAAAACTTTGACACTTTGAAAAACTTTGGCAAAAACTTTGACACTTTGAAAAACTTTGGCGAAAACTTTGACACTTTGAAAAACTTTGACGAAAACTTTGACACTTTGAAAAACTTTGGCAAAAACTTTGCCACTTTGAAAAAAAAAATTGAAAAACTTTGGCGAAAACTTTGACACTTTGAAAAATTGGCGAAAATCACACTTTGAAAAACTTTGGCAAAAAACACTTTGAAAGACTTTGACGAAAACTTTGACACTTTGATTTACTATAGTTAACTATAGTAAACTGTAGTTAACCATAGTTAACTATAGTTTTTTTTGTTAGGGAGACCTTAAAAACTGAGGCCCTGTGTCAGCGGCAGGCGTTGGCACGTTAAAGATCCCTCACTGCTCAATGGCCCTGAGTGCCGAGTAAAGGTCAAAATTTGAAGCCCTTTACCGGCATACGGTGACGTCTCCATATGAGTGAAAAATTTTCGAGAGGGACGTTAAACAATATACAATCAATCAATTTTTGGCGGAGATTTTTGATATAATTCGAAAATACACTTTTAGGAGAAAACCCTGAGAATTTTTCATTGTTTCAAGGTGTTCTTACAAAAACTTGTTGACCTGATATTTTGAATGACCTGATATTTCTAGTGAAGACCTGATATTTCTATAAATAACTTTCAATGGAAGGTTTGGAATGACCTTATATTTTGTTTAATTCTTTTAGAAAAAATAAACTTCTTAAATGGTTTTTAGACAAATATTCTCGCAAGAATTTTAGAAAAAAATTGACCTGATGATTTAGTTAGTACTAAAGACCTGATATTTTTTAATGACCTGATATCATTAAATGATGTTATGGGTTTCAATGACCTGATTTATTCTAATGGTATATTTTAAGGAAAATAATGCAGATTTCAGTGTTAAACTTTATAAGATGTGAATATTTGCAGCAATTCCATTTCATTTAAAGATATCAGGTCTGTAAAGTCAAGATATTTTCAAATTACATGTATCAGGTCATCAAGATGAATATATAATACAAAGCAAAAAATCTACTTATTATCCACCAAAAGAGTATTTTTGTATAGTATTAGCTACTGTCATTAATTCAGGAAAATATATCAGGTCTTTAGTATGTTCCACAGTCTCGACAGAAACTTCTGGTTATGAGAAGTTTGAAACTTCATTCATAAAAACAAATATTTTTATGAGATCTAATTCTCTAAGCAAGCGCCCTTTTCGCGCCAGTTTTAAAAGTATGGATCAAATTTTACAAATTATTTCTCCAGGGAATTATCATAAAGATTTTCAATTATGGAAACGTTTTAAAGTTTCGTTTTCTGACACCAGCTAGAAAATGACCCTTTCTTGGATTAAAATGACAATTGTAGAAGCTTACGGAATAAAATGTAATAAACACATCTATGAATGCGCGTATCTTTGCTCTAAGAACCTTAGAACATTTTAATATTTGTATTGTTTTCCTTTAATGGGGATAAAACAGTTTGTATTATTAATGTTAGGTGTAGTATATTTTTGATTTCAGAAATGAACACTTCACTTATCATAAAGCTGCTTGATATTACACGTATGCATTCGATTAACAGGAATATATTCCTACATGTACAAAGACAACTGTTTTGCTTCAAAAAAATGACAACGGGTCATTATTCTACGGGGTCATTTTTCTACAATGCACACAGGGAAAACCCCCAAGGCCATAATTTCTACAAAAAAGTGAGTCATTTTTCTACGTAGAATATTGACCAGGAGTAGAAAAATGACCCAGGTCAATATTTTAAATTAACCGGAAATCATAGCTGGGGAAAATGTAAGTCAAGTCTATTGTTGAGTTTTTTTTCCAAAATATTTCGATGAATTACATGTATTCACAGCAAAGGAAATCTCGGAGGTCATTTTTGCGATCTTGACATTTTTTTAAGTTCGTTAATAAAGTCGTCATGCAGCCTTTGATGTCTTATTTATTGATATCCTGACTATATTATAAATCAATTATGGACTCTTTTCCTGATGAATCGATCAATATTGATATTTTTGTGGTGAATTACATCCATATTCATCAGCAAGAGTCTAGCCCCTTGGTACAAATACTTTCATATGTGTAAACTTTTTAAAAGTTAACTTTCTTCCATGAAATTCATGTATCTGAATACAAAAAAAAAACTTGTCACCTAGGGATTCCAGTGTGTTTAAAAAGAAAGAGTCGTTCTCTTATGAACAATATATTAGAGAGATTGAGATTTCAGACGTGTACGTGAACGGGTACGTCTAGAAGGGGAATAACCTAAATTCCTTGTGTATTACGTCATCCATTTTAGTGACGTCAAGATTGCTACACGTTCTTAGAACTTGTAGAGTGACATCTGCACGTAATTGAAAACTTGTAGCTTTAATGATGAACTTTATTTAATACATGTGTGAAACTGTAGTCGTTAACTATTATTTAGGATGTTTAGTTTCACAGGCACTTATTTTCATAATTTTTTGCTTATTAACTCAAATCAAACTGACGTCACAAAACTTTTAAATAGTTAGCAAAAAGACAGCGATCGCAGTGTTCATGTACTGTTACATGTCATTAAAATCTCAACAGACAAATTACAAACACGTGAACGTCTACGTTAAAGTATAAGCACAAGTACACGTACGCGTACACGTTTAAGATCTCAACCTCTCATAACTAAAATTATCATTTATTTCTCTCCCTCTCTCTGAGAGCCGACAGTATATTTTACAAAAAGCAAATGCGTACATTTTTTTTTGTTCCCCGCTTTCGGGAAAGCGAGGGAACATTAAATCTCATTCGTCTGCCCGTCTGTTAGTCGGTCGGTCTGTCAGTTTGTCCGTCCGTCACAAAAAGTTTAACCTTGGTCATATCTTTTGAATTAAAGAGATAGGGTTTTCATATTATAGATGTACATTACCTGTGATAAGACCTTTCTAAATACACTATGATTTTTGACCCAGTGACCTTGAAGTTTAACCTACTGAAAGAAAATTTAATATTTCATATTAGAGATTTGTATTGCCTGTGACAAGACATTTCTTAAAACACTATCATTATTTACCTCGTGACCTTGACCTGAATGTTTAACCTACTGTTCAAAAACTTTAACCTTGGTCAGATCTTTTGAGTGAGAAGAGATGGGGCTTTCACATTTCACATATATGTTACTCGTAACAAGGCCATTCTAAATACACTATGATTTTTGACGCCACAACCTTGACCTTCAAGTTTGACCTACTTTTAAAAGATTTAATCAATACTTGGAATTGGTCATAATTTTTGAATGAGAAGAGACAGGACTTTTATATCAAAATGTGCATTACCTGTGACAAGACCTTCCTAAAACGCACTATGATTTTTGACCTCGTGACCTGGACCTTGAGTTTGACCGGGTTCTCAAAAACTTTAACCTTGTTCATGATTCATGAATTCTGATTGAGAAGAGATATGGCTTTCATATTAAATCTGTGTATTGCCTGTGACAAAACCTTTCTAAAAGCACTATGATTTTTGATCTTGTGACCTTGACCTTGAGGTTTGAACCCTTGACCTTGTTAAAAAGTTCATGTTTGGTAATAATTTCTAAATGATATATGATAGGTCGTTCATATTTGACAAAATATGTCGCAAAAATGTCGTCTCATCCACAAATGACCGAAAGCAAGGGGATATGCACAACTCTGAATTTGCTGGTGTGTTTTCAATGGACGATCACTTGGACAGACTCGGTATGTATGTGAAATAACAACTATCAACTCATGTTTAATTTTAGAAACGTGCACACAACCCCTGAAGGCGTGTCAGAACGGAGGATTTGTCATACATACCTGTGATTGTCATTGTCCTAGAGGGCTAACTGGAACACTGTGTGAAACACCTGTAACTGATCCAGGTGAAATATCATTAAGACTCAATGGGTCAACTTTGTCTAATTTACGCATTGCCTAGTATTTTATTACAATATCTGGACCTTTAAATCAACTTTATAAGTACAGACAAATAGTATTAAGACAAGAATACAATAGATATTAAATTCAGTGTGCTTGTTTGGTTTTTTCACTGCTGTCATGGATACTATGCTAAAACATTTCTATAAAGTTTTTCCAAAATTTTATTCCTCCTGCGTTCTAATTTCAAATTTGTTTGGAGGACAAGTAAATAAACCATTTTGTGCATAAGAATTTAAGTTGAATTTTAAAACCAAGAGAGCTATAATAAGAGAAAAATTGAAATAGCATGCATATCGATATCTTTTTGTATGGTCCTTGAATGTCTAAGCAAATATAACCCATCGTTTGGGTCGTTTTTTTTGACCAGCATATTTCATTTGAATGGTAAGACTTGTTTTCAAGAATTTCACTAAGGAATATTCCCTCTTACTAATCAATAAATATGGCTTTAATACGGCGGTGTGGCCATTCAGCAGGGAATGCTTGCTCCTCCTAGGCGCATTTCTTCTCTCGAACTTTCAGGATCATCCCTTCTTCCTTCTTCTTCACATATATTAAATTGTTTTCAGGTTTATCATGAGATTGCTCATTCACCTTTGTCTTGATGAATCTTGTTCATGCTTTTCGGTAGCTACAGTCTCAGCAAATGCTTCTTCTTTGGATATTACTTTTAAACCCAAAGACTATTGAAAGCCATACCGTTCAAGATACTAAGACTTATTTTGTTATATAGCTTGTGGTGGGACAATTACCCTTGCAGAAGGAGAAACAGAGACATTGACAACGATTAATTTCAACAATGGAGGCCCATATCCCACGGGCAGAGACTGTGTCTGGGTAGTGAAGGTGGGTATAAAAGCTTTTAGTTTATTTTTTTCCATTTTGCAAATTTAAATTAAATGCATCTCTCTTACTAGCTGTATGCAAGAGTTGTCTGTCTGTCAGTTTGTCTGTCAACATTTTATTCAAAGTTGTGTCTATTAGTTTGATCCAATGTAACTATCTACGTAAGGTTGCTACCTAAAATACCTAGCTAGGTATCTTTGTTTGTTTTTTGTTGTTTGGTTGATTTTCTGTGATTTTGACGAACAGTGTTGCCAAGGTTTTTGAAAAAGATATTTTTGTGAAATTATTTCAAAGTTGTCTTTCGCCTTTAATATGTTTTCTGTAAAATGTTTTACAGACATACTGTGCACATGGAAATTTTCGCCCTCGTTTTATTTTCGCCCCTTTAACGCTACCCTCATTTGGGCGAATTTAAAACGGGGCGAATTCAAAGAATACAATAATATTTCTTAAACAAAACTATGACTGGGCGAATTTAGAACGGGGCAAAATTGTTTGCAAGTGTGAAAGGGCGAAAATAAGACGGGGCGAAAATAACCCTGTATACAGTATACAATGCACATCTTTTGGTTTTAACAAACGCTGTTACTAAATTTCTGTGATTTTTTATTCAAAAGGATTTTTAAACTAGATCTACAGTTATAGTCAATTGAGATGGAACTCGGCCATAAAAGAGATTAAAGCTAGGATCATTATTTTGTCCTAATGCAGTTGCCAAAGTGTCGAGTCATGGTGCTGCTTTTTTTCTTCCTTTGTTTTAAGTGCAATCTAATAGAGTTAAAGTTTCACCAGAGACCATTTTTTCAATCTGATTTCTTAGATGCCCAATAGTGAGAAACTGTTCACCTGTATGAGTGATCTAGAAAACGTGTATCTTCATGCACTAAAATCTGATTGGCGTTATCAGAATTGTTTTCCAAATATTATTTTCAAAAATAGAGTGTAGATCTATAATGCAAAAAGTAATGCCTAAACAGAAAGGGCCATTTTGGGAACATCTGTTCCCGTTACCCTTAAATTAAGGTTACAATTAATACTTCAGGTAGATATGTATAGAACTTACCTAAAACCTTGATTCCCAGAAATAAGAATTTTACAAATTATCATGCAGGGTCCGGCTGGAAAAAATGTCCAAATGACCATAAAGGAGATGGATTTAACAACGCAAAATGGAGCGTGTAGCCACTGGTTAGAGATACAGTATAACCTGCTAGGACAGACAGGACCAAGGTAAAACATACATATCAAAACCTAGTTTGCTTTTTATGGGAAATTTTCAATTGTGCTTAGAAATGCAACTTATTCAATCACCTTTTGAAAACAAATCACACAGGTATCTTTGGCAAAATATATTTCTTTTTTTTCTTTTTTAAAAAAAATAAAAACATATTTATGAACAAGATGCTCCAACACTCGTTTGTTCGAGAATAAAAATTAGCATGTTATCTATTTACCTGTGAACTGTATAATTTAGACGCTGTGGAACAGTAGCTAATGAGGTTTATGTAAAGTCCGACAATGGCGACCCAACAACAATGTTACTGAAATTTGACAGTACTTTCGCTTCTTCTGCATCAGCTGGCAAAGGATTTTCTCTGGAAGTGACAAGCGTTAGTCTGCGTAAGTATAAAATTTGAGGTGTAGAAATGCACTGAGTGGCTAATAAAAATCAGTTTGGATGAGAACATGTAAAGAAAAATCAAGCTCATAATGAATAATTTTGATTTGTTAGATATATAGAATTCTTCTCAAGAACCAATACTCTAGGAAAGATGAAAGTCGTGATGAATCATTGTCAGTTAGTTTATAGTTTCAAGTTTGTTCAAATTATGATCCCCCGGGGGTACGGTGGGGCCACAATTGACGAACAAAGTTTTACACAGGAATATATAAGGAAAATCTTTTCCAAAATCTTCTTCTCTAGATCAGCAAAACCATGATTGGTTACATTTATGTGGAAGCATTCTCGGGTGGTTTAGATTCTGCACTTGTTTAATCATGACCCCTGGGGTAGGTCGGGGCCACAATGGACGATTGAAGTTCAGCATGGTATTATGTAGAAAAAATCTTCAAAAATCTTTTCAAGAATAGCCAAATCATGACTGGTCATACATGTATTTATATGAAACATCTGCAGGGGTGTAGGTCTAAGTTTGATCAAATCATGACCCCAAGGAGTAGGTTGGAGCCCACAATGGAAAATCAAAGTTTTACATAGGAATATATAGGATTAAAAAAATATCTTTTCAAGAACAGCAAAGCAATGATTGGTCATATTTATGTGAGAGCATTTAAAGGCGGTATAGATTCAAAATTGTTCAATCATGACCATCGGGGGTATATGTAGTTCAGCCACAATGTTTTTCATAGGAATATATAGGATTAAAAAAATCTTTTTTAGAACAGCAAAGCAAATGATGACACCGGGGGTATGATTGGGCCACAGTGGACGATCAAAGTTTTACATAGCAATATACACGAGAAAAAAAAAACAAAAAGAAACTTTTTTTAAGAACAGCAAAGCAATGATTGGTCATATTTATGTGAAAGCATTTTCAGGTGGTGTAGATTCAAGTTTGTTCAATCATGATCACCGGGGTTATGGTTTGGCCACAATGGGCATCAAAGTTTAACATATTAGAGAATATAAGAAAAATCTTTAAAAAGCAAAGCTATGATTGTTCATATTTGTATGGAAGTCAAGTGGTGTTGAGACGAGTTTAAATTGTGCAAATCATGACCTTCGTGGTAGGATGGGGCTACAATGAAGTGAATGAACGATAACAATTTTACATAATTTTACTCTGATAGTGAAGATTCACGTGGTTCTGGGACCTGTTTCACAAAAGTTTCCAAACACATGTCGTAAGACATAAGTTAAAGCTGAACAAGACTCGTAGATAGAATTAACATTATTGATATTACTGTCCAGGATATCAGCACCTGAGTGATTACTTACTAGGAAGCTCTTAAGATCTGTTACAGCTTTTTGTCTGAACTTAAATTTCTCATAAGATATATCTTACATTGTGTTACAGGTTCTATCTAGAATTCTCAGTATACTGTTAGGATGATGTCAGTACGGGTACACTATTTAGTTGACTAGAGTACACTATTTATTTGACGAGTACACTATTTAGTTGACTAGAGTACACTATTTAGTTAACTAGAGTACACTATTTAGTTGACGAGTACACTATTTAGTTGACTAGAATACACTATTTAGTTGACTAGAGTACACTATTTAGTTGACTAGAGTACACTATTTAGTCTATGAGTCGTGTTATATCATGTAAAAAGAATTCTGCTTGAAAAAGGGGGATGAGGTTACCGACGAAGGACTTGAATAAAGGTAGGATTTCACCTTGACAAGCTTTATACTTAAACTAAGCACCCCCTCCCCGGGTCTCACGACAAATATTTTTTTAAAAAACTATTCTTTACTTCGACGGACTAGCAATCGCACGTAGGTCTTAATTTTTTTCCCCTCAATTTCTTCAGACATGATTGCTCCTTGTTATAGTTATTCGTGCTTACAGTGTAATTATCTTGCATATCAAAACTAAGAATTTTTCGAAATAAAAAAATTCCAATATTTACATGATTTACGACTGTCGAAATTACAGTATCAATAGAAAAAGAAAAAGGAAATATTTCCATCTCAATGCATCATTATACCGTAACAAATCAGTCCCTAACGGGACAGTGGGGCCTAATATTCTGTAACACATCTTGCATTCGTGATTGGGAAAAGTTAAAGAAGTGGCGTCTTTTGAATTCACTTCTCTTCAACGCGTCCTCCCTACGAGAGATAAAATAATTTTTAACACTCGAGAGACCTGTAACCGTTGCGCTCTGAGTGAAATTGACGTGCTACACCAAATTGTGATTTTCTTTTCTCGTAAACAAAATATTGAGATTTAAGAAAAATAATTGTTTTGTAAAATATATGGATGTATTTTGATACTTTTCAGCCTGCAAAACACAACCTTGTAAGCATGGGACGTGTCATGCAGTCGGTGACACTTATTCCTGCACCTGTGATCCCAATTACACTGGACAAAATTGTGATACCCTAACTGGTATAGTTTTTTTGCAATTATCGCTATAATTTTACTCAATATATTAATATTTATATGATTTTGATATTTTGCTTAACTAAAGCTTTTGAGGATAATCATTTCAGGATTATATTCTTCTGAGATAAGTTTTTGTTCAGTAGTAGAGTCATACAAACAATCATATATAGCTTTTTTTCAGAACAGTCAATGAATAAATACTTATATATAAATTGCAACAATAATAAGTATTTATAATAGTTTTCTCATTTATTCCAAGCTCTCTGATTTGTTCAAACTTGATCACATGATCAAGTAGATTTGAGCTACTATTTAAAGGTTCTGAAATGCATAGCGACTTGATGTTTCTTAAAATGGTAATGATTTTCTGTAAAACAAAAAAGTTCAAATTAGGTAAAAAAGTGTATGACTTGAAATATATATATATATATATATATATATATATATATATATATATATATATATATATATATATATATATATATATATATATACACACACTTCAATTCCTTCCGCATAAGTAGAAATTTTAGCGAGATGCAAATTTAGCGATTTGTCCTTAAAAACTGGTTTTTTATTTTTAGTGTGATGCAATTTTAGCGATTTTTATATAAAAAATGCCCATGTAAGAAGCAATTACATATAAAATGCTATTAAGTTTTTGCGATATTCAATTTTAACGATCTCAGCACCCTCGCTAATAATGCCAAAATTAAATCCTTGCTAAAAATTTTGCTTTATTCTGCGGTATTTATAATTATGGTGATTTGTAATGTCTAGTAAGACATATCAATGCCTGGAAAAAGAATCTACCATATACCAGTATTAGAACATATCAGATACTTATCTAAAAATCAAAATATGAGATACAGTTTAACAAACAAATAAATTCCATTACTCTAGATAGAAAGGAAACACAATTACATTATAAACACCTTCATTTGTTTTGATATCTAGACTCCAAGAGTTAAAAAAGACAATAGAGAAAACATGTGTCTTGTTCCAATTATTTCAAATCTTGTTTTGTCTATCTCTGAAAAAACATAACATTACAAATGTAGCCCTTTGATGAGGTTGATCCAATGATATATATAAAAAAAAAGAACACACAGATCTTGCACTTCGTGCTTGGTAGATATGCTTTTCTAAGAAGTCGATATATCGATAGATCGACCTCATTAAAAGGCTATATTTTTATAATAAACAATTTCTAAGAAAAAACAAGATAATATATTCTGAAATTTGTTTTCATCAGTAAACCTTTACTGAGTGTATTTTGTCCATATATGTTATTTTATTGAAATATTACTAATATTTTCCTGGCCTATTTCATTTTCCAGTTCTTAGGAGAAAAAAAATCTAAGAATTATCCACTTTTCTAAAATTGAGACATGATATTAAGTCTCCTCCAAAGAAAATATGTGTTTGTATCACCTGTCCTTAAAAAGAAAAACGTTACGATTTCAATAATGGCTGCATTAATTAATGTTTATTAAAATAAAATTAAGCGTCGGTGTGAAAAGCCATGGAAACAATGGTAAAACATTTATAATACTATAATAAGTCGTGAATTTACTTTTATATTGACAGACTATCATTAGATTTTTAAAAATAAATTTATAGGTAGAATTTGCATATTCCTCCTCTAGAGCATCGTGGCATCTTATTAAACTAAATGCTTACATGTAAAGGGAAAATGTCAATTATGAATAATATAACTAAAGCTGTTTAAATGTTGTGCTTTAATATTTCCTTTTCTAATATTTTTTCTCTGATAACTCTTTGAAAGTTAGCAGAGTTGATTTCTTGATAATTCTCCCGGAATGTAAATTAGGCAGGTCGATAGTTCAATAGCTAAGGAGGCATAATACACATGCAAATCTCGTGCGCGTCTGCCTCTTGTCTAACGCAGCCGAGGAGGCCAAATATGGATGCAAATCTCGTGCGGCTGTCTTTGTGTTGGACATAAGTGGGCGAAGGCTATTGAAATTGGCATCGGAGTCGTCCTGTAATTTAAATCTATGTCTATATTTTTAAAGTCTAAATCTACAATTTTATTCACAATGAAATGGAAATATAAAGAATCACTGTCTAGTTAGTAGAGTACGCCAGGGACATCAACGATAGTGGGAAACATTGGATAATTTATGCAAAAAGGGCTTCGCCCGTTATGCAAATTAACCAATGTTTCCCACTATCGTTGATGCCCTGGCATACTCTACTAACTAGACAGTGATTCCTTAAATCAATACATTTTACTTTTAAAAATGCAGTCCTTTGTTTCTAAAACTAGGCCTAGTCGTAGGGGTTAAAAGCTAATTTTTACCAAAAATTACAAATTATCAGTAAAATGTGCAAATAAGCTTCTTTTATCTTTGATTGAAGAGCCCCCGAAGTACAATATCCGTAACATAGTATAACAGATTTCACAATGAACGTCAATTAATGACGTGGTTATTTTCAACGTTTTAGAATGGGAAAAAAGGGGGGGGAGACGTTACGTCTATTTTTGCTCCAAAGCTAACCGAAATTTTGAGTAAAATATTGTTTCCTGCTGCAAGCCAGTAGGCTTTAATTTACTGTCAATAAGAATTAAAATATACATGTATAGTATTGGAATTGTTTTGTCGGTAGCCACTATAGTGGTTAAAATTCAATTCCCTGCGATATATTTTCTAAGTATTATAATAAATCTCTAATTATAATAATAATGTCTTTTGAGTTCATTGTAAATATTGCCTCTTAAGGTGACATCATTTTTGTAGAGACCTAAAAGTACATAAAATATGAAAATTTCAGTTTTACGTGTATTTTTATCTCACCTCATCGAAGTTGGGGGAAGCTTATGTGATACCCTGGGCGTGGGCGTCCCAAGTTAAGGTTTCTGCATCTTTTTTCTCTGTAAGTAGATATATGCCCTATATTGATCACATATGCATTTAACATGCTTGTAGTATATTTAATTGTATCAGATGAGGTTTCAGATGCTGCAATTTCAATGACCAGGTTTATGTTTTTGGAGCGAGCAGGTTAACATTTTGGTGCAATTTTTGGTGTAGGTCTTATTTCTAAGAAACTGTAAAACCTATGATGACCAAACTTGCATGAATGGTACATCTAAGGATGCACACTACCAGACTTTCTTCGGATGCTGGGTCTGACCTACATTTTCCGGATGAGTGAACAAGTAAAGTTTCTGGTTCAGTTCTCATTGCCAAGTGACTATGAGGCCTAAAATTACCAAACTTGCATGGATGATACATACATGTATAAGGATGCACACTACCAGACTTGCTTAGGATGCTGGATCTGACCTTCATTTTCCAGATGGGTGAACAGATTAATGTTAATGTTTTTAGTGCAGTTCTCATTTCCAAGTAACTATGAGCCCTATGATGACCAAACCTGCATGGATGAAGCCTTTAAGGATGCACACTGATAGACTTGCTTCGGAGGCATACATTTTCGAGATAATGGACCAGATAAATGTTATGGGTGCAAGTTTAACATCGAGAAACTAAGAAATAAAGGCCTATTAACCAAGTTTGCAGAAATGATGCATCAAGGGATGAACAACCTCAAACATGCTTCAGATGCTGGATTTGAATTACATTTTCTTGTTCAAAGTTTTTGGATAGGTCTATTTCCATGTAACTGCAAGCCCCATTAGATCAAAAATGCATAAATTGTGCATTTTGGGATGTTATCTTCTAGAATGTTAGTTAATTGTGGTACTTTGCCTTACTTAAAGGGGCTGGGTGGTTGTGGTCATTTTCAGACTATTTTGATCTCCTTTAGAAGAAGAGTTCCATATAAACAAAGATATACAAAAATAATCAAATTTTAAAACAAAAATTTATGAATTTTTTCTTTACCAAATAATAGTTGACAGCTCAAGATACCATATCTGAAAATTTAAGATATATCTGATGGTTAATTTAATAGCACCCCAGCCTTCTTTAAGACAACATTCGTTGAGGTGAGCTCTGTAATCTTTGAGTACCTATGGTTTTAGATTATGGAACCATTTCCTGTGGATTTGAAGCTGGCGAGACCTGTTACTTTGAAAATCCAACATCGTTTTCCTTTTACTGGACAACAAGAACGGTATACTTATCATATTTTCAGTCTACATGTATTTTTCGGATTCTTATGGATTTTTTTTTATTGATTGTCGTTGATAGAGCATAATATTGATGAAAAATATAATTTATAAAGCATTGAATATGATGAAAATTTCAGTATAATTTCCACATATGTAGACTTTGAATGCCCGATTTATTTAGATCACATGAGCTGAAAAGCTCAAGTGAGTTTTTCTGATCTGAAGTTTTCCATCGTTTGTCCGTCTGTCTGACTGTAAAAATTTCACATTTTCTACTACTTGGCCAGAAAAGCTGAAAATTATATGGAAGCATCCTCAACTGCTGTAGATTCTAAATTGTTCAAATTATGATCCGTAGGGGTAGGGAAAGGCCACAATAGGGATTACACGGGGGAAATCATTTGAAGATCAACAGAGCCAAATTTGCTCAGATAAGCGTTGTGGCCCGAGGACCTCTTGTTTAAGTAGATGTATTCAATCAAAAGTACTTAGTAATTAATTAACTTAAAACGTTTTATTCATTTTAGGTCTAAGAGTACAAATAATTCATCTTACAATTTTTAAACATCTAAAACTAGTCAACGAAATAGGAACAAACATATTACAAGAGTTACAAGTATTGGGAGATAATACTACAATGGTTCAATGATTGCATTGATTAAAAAACTGACAAGACAATTTTACTATGAAATTTTGAATATTTTTTATTTTACTAAAGCCCCAACATGGTGTATGTTGATACAATGAAAGGTTAACAATAGAACAAATATACATATGAACTGTTTACATAATGAACTACAAAATGAACTAATACGTATACTCATATACGGACAGTACTGACGGTTTTTAAGAAAATTCATTTAAAGTAGAACATAAAAATTTTTCCTCAATATCATTTTTTAAAAATTTTTTTGTTGAAGGATACAAAACCTCTCTTTAAATAAAATTTGAAAGAAATTCAACTGCACATTTTTGCCCATCTAGTTCAAAATATGGCCTATCAGACATTAAAATGTTGAATTACATGGTGACGAGGTGAACGTCCTACCTGTTTAGTCGAACCTTCTGACTTTTACATTTCACAGGGTAGCACGCCATCTAGTAGCACAGGTCCATCGGCAGCTAAGACTGGAACATATTATTTGTATGCAGAGACTTCCAGTCCTGTAACAACTGGAACTCAATTTCATTATGAAACGCCTTTAGTCTCAGGTATACCAATATTCTTCAAAAATCATATGTTAAAATTACAGCAGTTACCTTACAATCGCTTATCGTCAGTGATAACGTTATTTTTTCTGTAATTAAAATTATGACACTAAATGATTTACACATTCACCTTTTAATAATTGATTTTATAATGTTTAGCATATACGACAAAACATTAAAACAGATTCAGATATGAAACATTGACTAATCTTCCACATTTTGGCATCAAAAGCAACCCCAAGGTGCTTGTCTTTCTGGTATCACATGTATGGCGCTAGTATGGGAACACTGAACGTTCTACGAAATGGAGTCAAGGTCTGGACCATGTCAGGGGATCAAGGGGATCAGTGGAAGGAAGCGGAAGTTGATATAATTAACGATAGTGCCAGTTACACTGTAAGTAAGAGTCTGGAATTCGATTTCTATAATCATGCCTTTATTTTTGTACACTTCATTAAGTACAAATGTCAATGTTTTACAAGACCGTTTCTAAGACTTCAAAGAATCTTTAATCAGATTTAAATGCATAAAATGAAAATTCTGGCACAAAAGATTTCAACTTTAAGCTTAATTTTTAGACATTTAAAATCAAATATTTTTTAAAGTTATCCTTCCTGGATAAGGATCGGATATCTTTAATTGATGCCCAATGATTATTTTGTTTGTTTTGTGGTAAAAAAAAAATTCACCGGGTAAAGTTGTCAGAATAAAAATGATTACGTAAAGAAGGGAATTGAAGTAACTTTGCATATGCTGATGTCCTGAGACAAAATACCAGACAAAGAGCTTATGCTATACCCCGGCGTCGGTGTCGGCGTCCCGGTTAAAGTTTTAGGAACAGGTCAATTCCCAAATAACATGTACCAAACTTTCATGGATGATACCTCTGATGTTGCTTCACTCCTATGGCAACTTTTTTGCATAAGATCTATCTTTAAAACAGAAATATCTCTTTGGCAGGATGTAATAAACTGTCCATAAAAGTTTCATAATAATTGGCTTGGTAGTTCGCGGTTATTGTTAAGCAATTTTTACTTTTCATCTGTTTCCATAGCAACGATTGGCAGTTTGTAAATTTTAAATGCGATTTTCAAATCAACATTAACTGTTTGTCATTTCTATGAAAATTCCTACGATTGTCTAAGAATCAGTGAGCAAACGCCAGGACAAATTGTTCACTTTTCGTACGCCATGTTGAAACTAAAAATGTTCACTGCATGAATACGGTTGGTCAAAATCTTTTTTGAATGCAAGATTGCCCCAGCCATCTGCAAAAAAATCCTCGGACAATGTTCTCAGACATACAATTAATATGTTCCCTGTTTTCAATCCGAATGGCATAATTATCGTTTCCTGGCGTTGAAAATTTTTTGGAGTCAACCCATTTTTATGCAGCAAGGACAAGGAAATAAATTTTAAAAAAATGATTTATGAGAATAATGTTTGTTTTAAAAACCCGGATAGCAACATGACTAATAGCTTGAGATAAGATTCCTTTTATCTATTAGGTCACATTTGAAGCAATACGAGGGAATTCGTGGCAAAGTGACATCGCCATAGATGATGTTTTATTAACCCCAACACCTTGTGGTAGGTAGTGCATTTTAGGTCACCTGAGTAAACTCGGGTGACCTATTGCTATGCGTTTTCGTCCGTCGTCGTTCGCCGTGCGCCGTTCGTCGTGCGTTAACATTTAAACATTTTCAGCTTCTTCTCTGAAATCGCTGAACCAATTTCAACCAATTTTGGCATATGGCATCTGTGGGTGAAGGGGAACAAAAATTGTGAATTTCATGGTCCCTGCCCCCCCCCCTCGGGGCCTGAGGGTGGGGCAAAAACCACTAAAATTAGTGCAATCTTTACAAATCTTCTTCTTTACTCCTGAACATCAAGCAGTCAAACTATTGGTGTGATTGTAATCAGCATTGAATCCTCTACCAAAATTATGAAATTCATGGCCCCAGGGTCAGGGGTTCTAGTGCTAGTGCTACGGCTGGGCTCTATAATGATTACATAGTGAAAATACATTAATTAAATCGATGAAAATGTTTTTCTCTACTCCTGGGTAATAAGTAGATGAACTATCTATATAGTTATGATGTGCAAAGGCTCTTCTTCTAGAAATGTGAATTTTAAGGCCCCTGGGTTAGGGATACCAAAGAGGAGGGGGGTCTACTTACATACTGAAATGAATTGTTTGAAATCTGCTCCTTGGTATTAATCAAACATTTTTGATAAGCAAGTGTGCCTTTTCAAAAATTCATTAGACCTAGGATCAGGGGTTCACGTGTATTTGGGGAACTTCTGATTACTGCTGAATATTACTGATTAGTTCAATTCCATTTTTTGTTCCCCTTGTTATTATATCTTACTTGGTACAATCAAACTTTCTTGATAATCAAACTAAGTTCGAAGCATCTTCTGCCTTGAACAGAAGATTACTATTTTTAAGCTTTAGGCCTTTGACATCAAGTTCAAAACAGTTTTTTGTATACCAAAAAAACCTACCTCGTTTCTTGATGCTATTTTTGTTTAAACATATAAAGTAGAGACGGTGTCACGTGATGCTTTAATTTAAAACAGACATTACTTTTCTGGCAGGAAAATAAATAATTATAAATTGATATCTTTATATCGCATTCATTTTCATTTTTGTAATTTACACTGTTTTTTCCCTTTTTTATCTAAGCAAAATAAATAAATGTCCAATTTTATTTTTAACTAACACAAGTAATTATTAATAGCGTGTATATCTTTAACTGTACTACTACAATTAATTTATGATGTATTAATTTAGTACACATCATGATTAGATTCAGGTCTTCAACATACCATTAATTGCTGTTATATAATTAAAAGGTCAATCATCAACTGCACAGCCAACTACACAAGCACCTACTACGCAGGCGCCAACTACACAGGCGCCAAGTGAGTCGGATCTGCACTGTACTTTCGAGGATGATACTTGCTTCTTGCAGAATACAGATGGAGATTCTTTCGACTGGACCACTAGATCAGTAAGTAATGCAGGTCCATTATATCAGTCACTAGATAAGCTCAGTAAGCAGTGCTATAATGCTATAATAACAGTAAGAAATACTGGATAAGCTCAGTAAGCAGTGCTATAGTACTATAATAACAGTGATAATACTGGATAAGATCAGTAAGCAGTGCTATAATTCTACAATAACAGTAAGTAATGCTGGATAAGATCAGTAAGCAATGCTATAAAACTATAATAACAGTAAGTAATACTGGGTAATATCAGAAAGCAATGCTATAATACTACAATAACAGGAAGTAATACTGGATAAGATCAGTAAGCAATGCTATAATTACAATAACAGTAAGAAATACTGGATAAGCTCAGTAAGCAGTGCTGTAATACTACAATAACAGGAATTTATACTGGATAAGATCAGTAAGCAATGCTATAATACTATAATAACAGTAAGTAGTTCTGGATAAGATCAGTAAGCAATGCTATAATACTCTAATAACAGTATGTAATACTGGATAAGATCAGTAAGCAATGCTACAATACTATAATAACAGTACGTAATACTGGATATGCTCAGTAAGCAGTGCTATAATACTATAATAACAGTTAGTAATACTGGATATGCTCAGTAAGCAGTGCTATAATACTATAATAACAGTTAGTAATACTGGATATGCTCAGTAAGCAGTGCTATAATACTATAATAACTGTAAGTAATACTGGATAAGACCAGTAGGTAATGTTATAATACTATAATAATAGTAATAATACTGGATAAGCTCAGTAAGCAATGCTATACTATTATAACCGTAAGTAATTTTGGATAACATCACTAAGCAATGCTATAATACTATAATAACAGTAAGTAGTACTGGATAAGATCAGTAAGCAATGCTATAATACTATAATAACTGTAAGTAATACTGGATAAGGTCAGTAAGCAGTGCTATAATACTATAATAACCGTAAGTAATACTGGATAATATCTGTAAGCAATGCTATAATACTACAATAACAGTAAGTTATACTGGATAAGATCAGTAAGCAATGCTATAATGGTATAATAACTGTAAGTAATACTGGATAACATCAGAAAGCAATGCTATAATACTATTATAACAGTAAGTAATACTGGATAATATTAGTAAGAAATGCTATACTATGATATCAGTAAGTAATACTGGATGTTCATATCAGAAATTCAACACCTTTAAATGTTGTTGTTTTTTTTTAAACAAAAAATAAATTTACAGTGCAAATTCAAAGTATCTGTATTACTCTTTTTACATTTAAATGTTGTTTGAATTAAGAGTTTATAAACTGTTTTATTTAAGGGGAGTACACCCTCAACTAGCACAGGTCCTTCATCTGCTTATGAGGGAAATATGTATTCTTACATAGAGGCAACAGGTGAATCAAGCGGTGCAGAGGCCAAGCTTCAAAGTTCAGCAATTGATACAAGTACGTTTTATTAGGTGATTTATGAGACATTGTTATCTTGTCTGGTCCGTCTTCATCCGTCTTGTGACTTATATCATCCATTAACATTTAAAAATTTTCAACTTCTTCTCATTTTCAACCGCTGAACCACACTCTCAAAAATGTTTCTCTTTACTCCTTGACATCAAGCAGAAGAATTATTGTCATGGTTTTAAAAAGAATTGAGTCCTCTACCAAAATTAATTGTATAATTTATGGCCCCCAGCTTAGGGTATTCTGCAGTTAGGCTCTCTTGATCATACACTGAATATGCATAAAATATTTATAAATCCCCCCTTGTAAATAGCTGCAATAATTCCTAAGTGAAAATCAGTACATGTTAATAATAATTGAATTAGTTGAATACTGTGACATCACACATTTTCGTGGGGTTTTAATTTTCATTATATTCTAGGTATGAAGAGACCTACGAAATCATGTCCACCACGAAAAGTAAAATGTTACATACATAACTACTCAACAATTCTTCATCCAAGAATTTAAATCCCTAGAACCAAGAGTTTTTACTCAAACCACGAAAATTTGACCCCACGAAAACGTGTGATTTTACAATGTGAAATTTTTTCTCAGCTTTTAGATGATTTCAAGTTGTTTTTCTGTCGTTTTTATGTTGCATTTTGTAACTGATTTTACATGCAGTGTTACAACATTATTAGTGATTATTTCAGTTAATATTATAAACATGACGAATATCGATGGTATTGGTCATGTCGTATGTCTTCATTATTTATACATTTTATTCAATAGTTTCTAGTAATAGATAATAAATCAATGTAAAATTCTGTATTTCTAGGCCAGATTTTCTGTCTGTCTTTCGCTTACCATATGTATGGCACAAATATCGGCACCCTAAGTGTGGGCATTATATCCGGTGGTAACACCCAGACTCTGTTCAGTGAAAGTGGGAATCAAGGAAACTTGTGGAATCAAGCCTATGTTCCAGTTTCACCTACAAGTGGCATTGTAAACACATAACATTTTTTATAGTCTTTTATAATTATTATAATTACCGTAAGTTTTTTAGTATCACTTGTTAAACATTGGTCAGTGTCATCGTTATGATAGTAATACATACGGGTCTTGTAGAGTAGGCTTTCCCCCCTAAAATATTACCCCCGGAAAACTGGCTCTAGAGTAGAATTTCCTTCCGGAAAACTGACTTTAGGTGTAATCTTACGGATCGTTGTTTACCTGCGTTTTTCATTTCCAAGATTAAAGAGTCAAGAAGTATCCCGAACGCAAATTCAATTACAAAAAACAATTGCTGATTCGTTGACTGGGTCGAGAGAAAAAATCTCAACTTCTATCAACACCGTAGTTAAACAATATTTTACAATACAATCACTTGACAATAATCAACTCCCATCTCTTATTATTTGGAAATGATTCCTTGTCAGTTGATGTGAATAACAAAATATTTCATTGTGTCCAAAAGTTCATTCGTGATTCAGGTAGATGTTGATCCCCTTTTCTTCTTCTGTTTCTATGTCATTTAATCATATATGTACAACCTTGATTGTTTATGATGTGAGAATTTTACTTGTGATCATATTAATTATTTATTATCATTATTGTTATATATTTTTCTTTCCAAAGTACTGTCATTTACATGTAACATTATAGATTTACACATTCAGCCCTACTAATGTGTTCGGAACCTTTTATTTTTCGGTGTTCTGCAAATTATAAAAGCCCGATAAAATCAGAGTAGCTCTGGCAGTGGCTCTGGCGAGAGTTAGCGAGACTACAGCGAGATAGAGAAAATTTTTCACGGAAATGTGGCTAGGATGTGACTAGCACGTGGAGACATGGTAAACAGAAAAGTTATGTTGCGTTTTAGTTTTCACCACCCTATAATATCATTCTGTAGAAATGTACTTCAATCGATCTCTCTTGAATTCATTCAAATTTAAATTATAAGTATTCCCTATGATACAAGTTCCCGCTGTCTTAAATTAAAATTTCTTTTTGGACAAATATTTTTGCATGGGAACCGGGACTATATTTTTTGGCGTCAGATTAGCAAATGAGGCCCCAATGTGACTTTAACTGACAAATCAGCTGAATGAGAATTGCATTATGTGTAGCTGCAATAGTGTAGCCCTCTCCGATTTTTTTTATCTGATGTTTTCTGGAGAGGGCTACAATTCCACAGCATCTCTGTAATGGTGCAAAAATATTTTTTAAATACGGGCGACTGCAGGCAGAAAAAGTAGTTTTTACATTCAACTTACTTCTAATAAGACGAGATTTTTTATTCACTGTCGACAACATAGCCCGTTAAACGCGAAAACCATGTAAAATAAATCTTGTGTTTTATCTTCGACAGCCATGACAGTTCACGCGTGACGTACCGAGACTTGCGCTTGAAATTTAGAATAACCAAATAAAGCATGTGTTGGTGTTTATAAAATAATTGTGATGAATAGTATCACTAAACATCGATAAATAAAATCATACCATGTGTTATTTTATTGTAAACAGCGTTACTTAGGCTTAAAATAAGGTAATTCCAAAGAAATCCGCTCCCTATAGATCCTTAATCTCATTGGCTGTCCCAAAATAAAATCTGTCAACTGAAGGTCAGTAAACATGGCGGATAAATTTAAGTTGTGATGTTGACATACACGAAAAATAACTGATATATGGATTGTTCTGTATATTTTTGGACTGATTTATGTCTTGGATAACTACATTTTTTGAGTCAAGGTAAGAAATGTTAATTAAATAGCCATTTGCTGACAATTTGAGCCGAAATCCGTGCGGGAGCGAATCACTTCCGCAGCTGCACCATTACGGAGATCTTAAGGAGTTGTAGCCCTCTCCCAAAATAAAAAAGGGGAGAGGGCTACATTATTGCAGCTACATTATGGGTTACTACGAATACTACAGGAATTTTAAATTACGCTTGATAAATTCCTTTATATCGGTGAATGCAATTGTCAGGTTGATTTCCTGGCCAAAACACGTGATCACGAGTATAGTTATGTAAAAAAATGTTTTGTCCATTTTTAAAATGCATACGAGAAGCTGCTCGTTTTTATTACCCTTGAAGTGCTGGTGTTCTGAACTTGACACTAACTACGTATACATTTTATTAAACATATTTTTTCAACAAATAAAAAACGCCCGTGACATCTTTCATAGTTTCTAATCTTGGCATTTTCCTCATAAGAACATTTTTTGATTTGATCATAGATTGACCTGAACCACGTGTTCGAAGTAAAATGTAAACATGTATTGACGTAAAGGTATTCAATCAACAATTGGTCAGTTGTTCGTGGTTAGATCCTCTGTGCGCATTAATAACAATAGCCATATAAGGCAAACAAAGGTTTTCCAGTGTGGATGATATTACACATTATTTTTTTTTACCAGCGTATCGGTCGCTAGTGAGCTCTAATTTTTGCCGTAAACCATGATAAGATATATTGTTATCCCCCCCTTCCTATAGCCACTCTTTTCTGTTGAAAATCATAAAAGTCTTTCAGAAAGGACTGGAAACACATTTTTCACAGGACATGTTTTCAAAAGAAGCAGACTATAGCAATATCCTGTTAACTGCCAATTTTATTTATAAAACCGGTTCTAACCTATAACCTTTGAATAGATAAAGCTAAACCACTTTCTTGAATTTAAATCACAATAACTATAGTAGGGGTGACATTGTAAGAACTATGAATCTTTAGTAAAATAAATGTTTTAACTTGAAATATTTTGTATTTTTCATGTATATGTATAAGTTTACACCTTCAATTGTTATTTTGGCAATCACTTTAATTATTGTATATATTACAGGGAAAGGTTTTTTAAGTTGCAAGAACTTGTAACCAATCCCTTTGTATTAATTATGCAATAAATTATGTTCAAAACAAAACAACACCGTATGCCAAGGGATTATGAGGAGAGTAGCGTATCAGAAACCCTTGGCTAGCGAAGATGTTAAAACTCACGTTTGTCGTTTATCTTTTTTTCATAAAAATATTTCGTTTGTGGTTTATATTGACTTTACAACAAGGGGGAAATTCTACTCTGAGAAAGAAAGACGGGGAAATTGGACTCTGGTGTGAGTTTCCTCTTCGGGGGGGGGGGGGGGGGGGTTCTAATCTAGAGTACGATTTCCAAGAGGAAAGCTGGCTATGGGGGAAATCCTACTCTACAACACCGGTATAATAAGTTTTTCCTTCTAAGTTAATGTTCATTTATTTAACAGATTGAATTTACTGCCGTCCGTGGAGGAGGTTTCCGTAGTGACATAGCAATTGATGACGTTCACTTTCAGGCAGGTGACTGTGGTGAGTGGCGTTCCCTTGATTATTATCTTATTGTCTTTAGTTTCTATTAAGTCAACGCAAAGCTAACATCAGTTTGTTATTCTTGAACAACATATCCCTCTTTCTTAATATGGTTGCATCATTTTGAATTGGTTTGTATAAAATATCGTTAATGTGTCACAAAAATTCTTCACCTAAAATCTTATTAAAATTTAAAGCCTTGATACAAATTAAACTTGAATGAATGGAATTAAGCATGAAAATGGAAGAGGAATTTCCTTTCTTAAGATGTCGCAGAATACATATGGTATTTTCCGTTTCAGTAATTCCTTCCACGACCACTCCCGCTCCAGTATCTCCGCCCCTCAGTTGCACTTTTGAGCCTGGAGAATCCTGTTTTCTGACACAGTCACCACAGGACGATTTTGATTGGACGAGTGATAGTGTGAGTTCAATATTTTGCTCTCTAGTAGCTTTCGTTTTGAATTTACATTATCTTCTGTGTTTGTGATAGCGTGAGTAATTGTTTGTACTCGATATTTCTGTTAATTAAAGGTGACAGGGTTTCTATCCATTCCGGTATCTTTTTTTTTTTTTACAAGATATGGATAATGAATTGACACGTTTAATAGAGGATTAATCGCCTATAAATATAATTGTTTTTACGATGTGACCGATGGGTCGAGCGCAATTTTGACTTATTAAAACCTACAAACAGGTTACACTTGTACTGCATATCCTCATTGAGAAAAAGAAAAGAAGAAAACACAACAATAAAAAGAATCACCTCCCATTCTCATTCTCGATAAATTGTAAATTTATTTTTGAGGGCTTAAAGCAATTGAGTGCTAAGCTTTTTCTTTTATCGTGAAATGTTTCTTTAAAACAGAGTTACTGTAAACTAGCCCCCCAAAAATGCCTATCAATTTAACTGAGGTGTCTTAAAGTCAATCAAACAAAATCAGTGATAATTTGTTGAATTTTGGCAAACAGTGCGTTGGTTGTTGTAACTCCTTTTCACCAAGGACGGTACCCATTTTTGAAGCCCATCATATCATTTTGTGCATTAAAATCCACCTGCTCATATGTGTATAAAACAGACATTGGTTGAATTCATTTTCACGTATTTCATTCTATAGATATTTCTTTTGGATTCTAAACAAGTTTTACAGCAGCTTTAATAAAGTGTTCAATTTTACTCTAGTTTACTGATTCTTTTTCATTATTTATGCAGTATCTCGAATAACCCTTGTTTAACAGAACTGTTCAATAAATAATGTCATCAGTGCTCGAAAAGAAAAAAAAACCGCTTTTCAAAGAGACGATTTCACTCAGATATTCTTTTTAAATTAAAATACATATCCGTAACATTTTTATTCAATTTCGAATTGTTTTTAAAACACTTTTTGAGTATTGCCGTTCTTGTACTGGAACATGGCAGATCCTATGATTTCCTGTACTTGATTTTTTTCTTTCCGAAAGGTGTTTTTTTCAAGTTCAGGAAAGAAAAAAAACAAGTCAAAAGTTGAAAGATCTGGTGAATACTGTTGCTGTGACAAAATATTAACTTCTGTTTAACCCCAAAAGTTCTTTACTCTTCGTGGCCTGTGGGTTTGGACGCTGTCATTAAGAAATTTAATGTAATGGATTCCTGATTCTGGTTCCTTCCTCTCATAAACCTTGCGATTTTTCTTGCAAAAAGTTTGCTTTCTATTGATTGATTGATTGTATACTGTTTAACGTCCCTCTCCAGAATATTTCACTGATATAGGAGACGTCACCATTGCCGGTGAAGGGCTGCAAATTTAGGCCTATGCTCGGCACTCAGGGCCATTGAGCAGGGAGGGATCTTTATCGTGCTACACCTGCTGTGACACGGGGCCTCGGTTTATACGGTCTCATCCGAAGGACCGCCCCATTTAGTCGCCTCTTACGACAAGCAAGGGAGTACTGAGGACCTATTCTAACCCGGATCCCCACGGCTTTCTAAACTCCTCCAGAAATTAAACTGCCTCCCCGAATAAGAATTTGAATAAGAAGATCACTAGTATTCAAAAATATGGCACATAAACCCGTGATTTTGCTCTTGCAATTCTTTGCTCTTCTCAGGCCTTTACTGTTTTGTCCAGTGAATCTTATTAATGTAAATTTGTTTTGAGGGTTTAAAGCAATTGATTCAAGTTTCATTATCTGTTTGAATTTCAGACAAACGTGGATAAGTACAATTTTTTTTTTTTTTTAAATTATTGTTCAGATATTCTTACATGCTGTCGTTTTTACTCATTTTTCAAAACATAGCGAGATCTTTTAGTATTAATTTTTTTTCACTGTCAAATGTTCCTCTAAAACATTGTGAACTACCCGCAAAATAATGCCTATCAAATTTGCTATGCGTCTTAAAGTCACAATTAGTTATATTTGTTGAATTTTTGCCAACAGTACATAAGTTGTTGTAAGTCCTTGTCGCCAAAAACAGAAACCTCATCATTTTTGTCCATTGAAATCCATCTGCTTATATGTGTATAAAACAGAAATTTGTTGCTGTTAATTTCACGTATTTCAGTACATATTTCTTTGTGAGTAGAAGGATATGGAGGTAACGAACAGTATTCAATCTCAAAGTCCATAAAACAATACAAAATAAGAGCAGAGCAAACACGGAGCCCCGAAACATCAGAGGTGGGATCAGGTGCCATGGAGGAGTGAGCATCCCCTGCCGACCGGTCACACCCGCCGTGTGCTCCTTGTAATGATCAGGAAATAACGGAAAAAATCCGTCGTCAATTCAGTGTATAAATAATGGACTAACAATTGGAATGAAAAACGTCAGTCAGCATTTGACTCAAAGATAAATTGTATTTGCTGACGAAGTCATTGTATCGACCATAGAACTTACGAAATGATGACTTTAAACGAGACTGCTGATATTCTTGTTTCATCAACTTGCTTGCCAATAATTTACCTCGTACACCTTGAGTCTAAACAAGTTTTACAACAGCCTTTATGAAGCGTTTAATTTCACTCTAGTTTACTGATTCTTTACCATTCATTTATAATGCAGTGTCTCAAATATCCCTTTTTTCCAGCTTCCCACAATATTACTATGTGATAAAAAGTGGTCACTAAAACTGTTACCAATTCATGAAAATTCAATAATGATAGAAAGTCAAGCTTAATATTATATGATTTCTATGCTGTACGTCATCGAGATGATGACATTATTTACTGAACAGCCTTCACCTCGTTCAAGTATCATATAATGAAACTAGGTGGTGAGAAGTGGTCACATAAACTGTAATCAATTCATCAAAGTTTTGGTCATGAGAGAAAGTAAACTTAATGTCATATGACTTCTCTGTTGTATGTCATAGAGCTCAGAGCAATATTTTTGAACAGCCCTCGTAACTTGGTCAACTAAGTAGACTTTACGTAATTCAATGAAAGATGTTGCCTTGGTTAAAATTTAAATCTCTGTATATTTTCTCAAGCCTACACCTCCTATAGTTTTAATCTGATTTCAATAATTCTTGTGACATACAGAGGCAAAACTAAGGATAATTATTCCATCTATTGCAATTACAAGTTAATACAGCTCAATGCACTTTTTAAGCTCACATGGTTTTTCGCACAAATTAAGGTCACATTGTTGTACTAAAAAATACCATTTTTGAACTACAGTACAATGGCATAACCCTTTGATATATTACATATATAATGTCAAGCATAAAATAATGTCTTTTAAAATTATTACCTTAAGTTTCAAAAGTGGATGTTTTAAAGGAAAATTTATAAATAAATGGTAGGATGTTTCGACTATACGATTCTACAGGTCTTTACAAATTGTATAAAATGAGCTTTCCTTGATCCCATGTAGTTGAAATTGTTAAATGTTCTTCTTAAAGGTGCGTATTTTTTAAACATCTTTGCTTATTTACCATACTCCTCTTGGTTTCGTCAAAATATAGTGCCGAAAAGGGATAATATTGAAAAAGGAAACCACACTAAAGGGTAGGATAATGAAGTATTGTTTATTATTTTTTTTTTTTTTGAATAGTAAATCCCTTCTATGAAAAGAAAAATTCTTCTGCATTTAGGGTTTGAAACGTTAAAATTTTGCAGTGGTATAAATCTTTCATGATGCTAGATTGTAGAAGTTGACTCTTAAAAATCCCACCTTATTAACATAGAAAGCAGTCAAAGAGATGAAAAATACTATTACCACCCAGAGTTTAAGAGACAAAATGTACAGATAATACAAGTTACAGTGGCTGAACTGTATCCATGTCTACGTTTCTGCCAAGAGCTATTGCTTTCAAAAGAACGGATAAAAAGACAGTTACAATTGGCAAGAAACTACAAAAATTCAAATGAGAATAGTTGTTATTTTTCAGCCATAAATATATCGAAGTTCTACCAATTTATTTGTGTGAATTATTTTTCAGTAAATGAAATAAAACTCAAATTATGTAAACAAATACTTTTAAAATGTATTTTTTGTCTCGATGCACAATATTCTATCATTAGCAATGTGACCTTAATTTGTGCGAAAAACCATGTGAGCTTAAAAAGTGCGTTGAGCTGTAGTTTTAAGTTCAAGTGTTTGTTGTACAAACCAATTAGGGCACAGTACACACAGTCTTGTCAGAGACTTTTGTCTGACAAACATGTATTTCGTTATTTGTTTGAGGTTATTGCTTTTACACTCAATGATTACGGGGTACTCTGTCTATCTGTTCAATACTTTATTATTATATTACTCACTATTATTCCAAGCTCTCTGATTGACTAAAACTTGGTCACATGATCAAGTATATAACAGTATAATGACTTGTGTTACTAGTTAAAGATCCCAAAAACCAATCTGTCCAATGTTTCTATGTACACGAAGAATAATAATATTCTATGAAACAATGATAGTGTTGATCTGACATGGCTAACATGACTTAATTAAATTTCTGAAAGGCAAAATAACAGGTATGTATATTATCTGTATATATTATTTTATCCTAACAAATATTTAGATTTCTCACATTTATTTCAATATACAACACCTAGCCTACTTTATTTCCAACATTTTCAAAACTTTCTCCAGTATAGTCATATATTAAGATTACAATTATGGCAGAAGTATGAGGCGCCGTTTTGGTATTTACTGCCAAAAAGTGATGTCACCTATTCACTTGGTGATATCACCTATTCGAATAGGTAATATCACCTATTCAGATTTTGAATAGGTGAAACACCTATTTGATTTGAATAGGTGATATCACCTATTCAATTAGGTGATATCACCTATTCAAATTATTTATGAAGTAACAACAGCTCCCAAGACTATAGGTCCCTAAATCTTACTTACTTTCACTGTCGTTTTATAACTGATAACTCTAGGAGACAATAGATAACAGTTTTGCGTTTTAGTTTTAATCAACCCCAATAGAAATATTGTAGTTTGTTTTGCTCACAAATCAATTTATTCCAATTATCTATCAGGTAAACTTTAAGAAAAATTGGAAAAACGAATGAAAACTGGGTAGTCCGAATTTTCTTGGTTCCAGTGCTAATCTGTTTATTATAGGGAGCATTCGTTATTCAATGTTATAAGAAATTCAAATAGGTGATATCACCTATTCAAATTGGTGATATCACCAATTCAAATTGAATAGGTGATATCACCTATTCGGATAGGTGATATCACTTATTCGAATAGGTGATATCACCTATTAAGCACGAATAGGTGATATCACCTATTCATTTCCAATAGGTGATATTTCCTATTCGAATAAGTGATATCACCTTTTCGAATATGTGATATCACCTTTTCGAATAGGTGATATTACCTATTGAAAATGAATAGGTGATATCACCTATTCAAATAAGTGATATCACCTATTCAAATAGGTGATATCACTTTTTGGCAGTAAATACCGAAACGGCACCTCATACAGAAGCACAATCTGCTATTGAAACTTTGTTTTGTTCATCACTGTCTTCACTCAGATATTGATTTTAAAAGTTGTTTCCTAATTTATTAGAATTCTTATAATGATGCTATTGAGAAAGTAAATTTACATATACAAAAATCGAAATATTGTTTATTTTAGGATGGAACACCCTCTTCATCAACTGGACCTAGCGCGGCATTTGAAGGTACTACATATGCCTACACTGAAGCTACTGGGTTTACATCCGGACAAAGAGCTGTCCTAGAAAGTTCATCAATTATAACAGGTTTGAATTAATTCCTATAATGTTAAGCCCCAAGATCGTATAAATGCATTGATAATAAAATGAATTATTATAATTGAATGCGGGGTATTTGACTCTAAAATCATTTCTCTCGCATCATGAATCTAAAGATTGCCTTTACCAGCCAATCACTTTTAAATTAACCAATAAATGACCTTGCTCTTGTTCACTTTGTTGTGTCTGTCCTTTGCCTATAATATGTATTATATTTATTTTATACAGCCGATTCAATGTGCCTGTCCTTTGCCTATACAATGTATTATACTTATTTTATACAGCCGATTCAATGTGTCTGTCCTTTGCCTATAACATGTATTATACTTATTTTATACAGCCGATTCAATGTGCCTGTCCTTTGCCTATATCATGTATTATATTTATCTTATACAGCCGATTCAATGTGCCTGTCCTTTGCCTATACCATGTATTATATTTATTTTATACAGCCGATTCAATGTGCCTGTCCTTTGCCTATAACATGTATTATACTTATTTTATACAGCCGATTCAATGTGTCTGTCCTTTGCCTATAACATGTATTATACTTGTTTTATACAGCCGATTCAATGTGTCTGTCCTTTGCCTATAACATGTACGGCAGTAGTATGGGGTATCTGGATGTCATTTACGATAACACCACGGTTTTTGCCGAGTTCGGAGACAAGGGACAAGACTGGCTGCAGGCGAAAGTGACTCTTCCCCCTCCCACCACCTCTGAACCAAATGTATGAAACTTATTTACATATTACATATATATACGAATTATTGTTTTGTTCAGTGTTGAAACAGCTAAATCAGCCTTCTACTGGACAATGCTTGCATGGCAATTGAGTTTGCCGACTCTAATCGACTCAGTAGCTATACTGACTGAACTACCATGACGGTCTCACGAGGGTCGAATATAAGTCTATTGGTTTAAATTTGGAGCCCTTCACTGGCAACGTCTCCAAGTGACTGGAAACTTAAACAACACACAATTAATCAACTTATTCCCACATGGAACTGCAGCTTTCACTACCTGAGTATTTCTAGTCAAAATAGGGTGGAATAAACTAATCACATGTCAAAATTACTGAGATAAAAGGCAACCACGTAAAGGAGAATAAGACCATAACAACTTCCGTTTTCAATGTAATATTTGCAACCCTCCATTCCTGAAAAGTAATGGAGCGCTTAAACAAAAGAATGACGTCACATGTGGATTTTACCTATAGATACAGTTTGTTGATACATGTACATGTGCATCTAAGTCTACATGTAGATCTCTGTATTTTATCTACATATACAGGTTTTTGGTATATGTGTGCCTAAGCATCTATATTCTATTTACAGATATATATATATAGTTTTTTTTAGCACATGTGTATCTAAGACTCTATATTTTTCCCCCTCTTTCGCGAAAGCGAGGGGACATTAAATCTCATTCGTCTGTCTTGCTGTCCGTCAGTCTGTCAGTCTGTCTGTCCATCACAGAAATTTTAACCTTGCCCATAACTTTTGATTAAGTGGAGCTATGACTTTCATATTTCACATGCGTATTTCTTGTGACAAGACCTTTCTTTGGGTACCACCAAATTTGACCTTTTAATCTTGACCTGGGAGTTGACCCACTTTTACACAATTTTTTTTTAACTTTTACTTTAGCAATAACTTTTCAACAGTAAATACTAAGGACTTTTATATTTCACATATGTTTTGTTTGTGGCAAGGCCTTTCATTGGATACCATCAACTTTGACATTTTGACCTTGATCCTGGAGTTTAACCTACTTTTTAAAAACTTTAACCTTGGTCACAACTTTTGAACGGTAAATACTAGGACATATATATATATATATATATATATATATATATATATATATATATATATATATATATATATATATTTATATATATATATATATATATATTCTTGTGGCAAGACCGTTCATTGGATACCAACAATGTTGACCTTTTGCCCTTGACCTTGGAGTTTTAACTACTTATGAAAAATCTTTAACCTTGACCATAAATTTTGAATGGAAAGGGCTAGGGCTTTCTACAAATATATATATATATATATATATATATATATATATATATATATATATATATATATATATATATATATAATCCTCGTGAGAAGGCCTTTTATTGGATACCAAGACCTTTGACCCTCTGACCTTGACTTTGAAGTTTATTTCTTTTCAAAAACTTTGACCTCGGCCACAACTGTTGAATTGCAGGTAGTAGGACTTTCATATTTCATATAAGCATTTTTTGTAGCAAGTCCTTTCATTGGATATCAACAACTTTGACCTTTAGACTTTGACCTTGGAGTACCTATGAAAAAACTTTAACCTTGACCATAACACTTTAGAATGGTAAGGGCTAGGGCTATTATGCTTCATATATGTTATCCTTTTAAGAAGACCTTTCATTGGATACCAAGAACTTTGACCTTGACTTTGACTTTGGAGTTGACCTACTTTTAAAAAAACTTTAACCTTGGTTATAACTTTTGTAAGGTTAAGGTTAGGGTTTTCATACTTCACATATGTACTGCATGTGATAAGACCTTTCTTAAGAAACCAACAACTCAGACCCTTTCACCTTGGAGTTTGACCTACCAAAAATTTATCCTCGACTTTAACTTTTGAACAGGTGGTGATAGGGATTTTGTATTTCACAATCGTATTTCTTGTGAGAAAAACCCTACTTTGGGTAATAATATATTTAATTTGCATTTAAGAAAAGTTTAATCTTCGTTATATTGCCATGCGGGGTCAACAGTTTTTCACAAAGACATCTTGTTCTTTATATTGAGAAGAGACGGGGCTTTCATATTGTATATGTGCATTACCTGTGACAAGATAATTCCGATCATGCTATGATTTCTTACCCTTTGACCCTCACGATTGACCTTATTTTTTAAAATGATATCAACTTCAATGATAATTTCTAAATAAATGACATATGTTAGTGTGTACATATTAGACACAATATATCATTAAGATTAACATCTCAGCCACAAAGACACAGAAAGCGGGGGACCACAATTCTTTGAACTTGCTTGTTTATCTATAAATACACTTTTGGTACATGTGTATCTAAGTCTCTTTAATTTATCTATAGATATAGTTTTTAGTACATGTGTACGTATCTAAGCTTCTGTATTTTATCTACAGATATAGTTTTTGGTACATTTGTGTCTAAGCCTCTATGTTTTATTAACAGATACAGGTTTTTTTTGCTACATGTGTGTCTAAGCCTCTGTATTTTCCCTACAGATATAGTGTTGTTGGTACATTTGTGTCTAAGCCATTGTATTTTATTAACAGATACAGTTTATTGGAACAAGAGGGTCATCCTATAGAAGTGATATGGCTATTGACAACATCCAGGTCGTCACAGGAGAGTGTGGTCAGTAATGCCAGTATCGTAACAGTGAAATATATATGGCCATATCGAGTTGTATTCAATACAACAACACAAATCTAGAGTACAACAAACACAGATCTCTAAAATCATCAGAGGTGGGATCAGGTGCCTTTCAGGAACACGCATCCTCTGTCGACCGGTCACTACCGCCGTGTGCTCTTTGTCAGGATTGGGCAAACGAAAAAATCGTCGACAATTCAGTGTTTAAATAATGGCCTTACAATAAGTAGGAAAAACTTCAGTCAGTTTTTCAACTTAATGATAAATTGCAGCTGACAAGACCATTGTATCGACTATTGGGCTTGCGCTTGATGACTTTAAACAAGAATGTTAATATCTTTGTTTCATCGACTTTTTTGTTTGCAGTTGGGGCATGCTGTTGCATATCTAATCTACTTGGAAATTTAAACCTTATTTGCATTTGCTAAGGATATATTGCTACATAAGTAGAATTGACGATAGAAAATTTTCAAGTCATCACGTTTATCATAAAGCTTAAATGTTAGGTTACCACTTATCCAAATATGAAGGAGATGTATCAGACTCAGATGTATGTCTTATATCATGTTCACTGGGATAATTCGAATCGGCATATGGAGAAAATAGCTATTGACAAGTAATAATACGTTGTCGATATACATTGTATTTAATTGTAATGTTGAAGGCCACAGCAAATGCCTTAATTCTTCTACTTCTCAGGAACCCCAGAGACCTACATTCGATCGAATACCCAGTTAACCGGGTACTCGTTAGTATCCCTACATTTTACTTAAGTAGACATTTCTAAAGCTCCAAATTTTGGAAACTTCTTCAGATATAGCTCTGCATGCCACAATACATTGTAGAAGCAGAATAAATCATGAACTAATGACCTCCCCATTATACTTTTGCTACTGTGTCTCTTCCCCATCGTAGAATCAACATTGTCTTCTGATGTAATGAAAGACAATTGAAACTAGAGGTACTGTGAGCGATGAGCTCACTAAATGATACCCCCCGCCTCCCATATGGTTATAACTGGTGAAAAAGTCCATGTTTTCCTGTGGCCGGGAAACCCAAAATATGTGTCGAATCAAAAAGTAAAATAGGAGGTGCACAATGGCAATATGTAATAAAGATTCTGTGAAAGTTTCATCAAATTTCATTCAGTGGTATGAGAGGAGTTGCGGATAAGAGATGGGTACCCCAAAGCGTAACAGACGGACGGACGGACGGACAGACAGACGGACGGACGGACGGACGTACAGACGGACGGACGGAATTAACGATTACTATATACCCTCCCGCTTTTCAAGCGGGGGGTATAATTACACAAATATTAATAGGAGGTGGTACTCTTGTAAAGTACTGTCTTCTTGGGGAGGAGCACGGCCTGGATTTTGGGCAGGACACCACCCTGGGCGATGTTTAATGAATTCCAAGTGTGGATATTTATGTCGCAGTATTTTCTTTTAAATCTATGATTGCATTTTAAACAATATCCTTTAAGATATTTTTAAAATGAACTGTAAAGATAACGAACGTTGATCGTGCTCAAAAGCCCATTTAAACAGCACAAAGTGTGAGCAGAGTCAACAGAGAGTAAGCCGAGGATCAGGTGAGTGGAGATACTAGTATATACCTAGCCTAGTTCTAAAACAGAGGAGAATCAGGTGAGTGGAGATACTAGTATATACCTAGCCTAGTTCTAAAACAGAGGAGAATCAGGTATATACCTAGCCTAGTTCTATAACAGAGGAGAATGAGGTGAGTGGAGATACTAGTGTATACCTAGCCTAGTTCTAAAACAGAGGAGAATCAGATGAGTGGAGATACTAGTATATACCTAGCCTAGTTCTAATACAGAGGAGAATCAGGTGAGTGGAGATGCTAGTATATACCTAGCCTAGTTCTAATACAGAGGAGAATTAGGTGAGTGGAGATATTAGTATATACCTAGCCTAGTTCTAAAACAGAGGAGAAACAGTTGAGTGGAGATACTAGTATATACCTAGCCTAGTTCTAAAACAGAGGAGAAACAGGTGAGTGGAGATACTAGTATATACCTAGCCTAGTTCTAAAACAGAGGAGAATCAGCTGAGTGGAGATACTAGTATATACCTAGCCTAGTTCTAAAACAGAGGAGAATCAGATGAGTGGAGATACTAGTATATACCTAGCCTAGTTCTAAAACAGAGGAGAATCAGGTGAGTGGAGATACTAGTATATACCTAGCCTAGTTCTAATACAGAGGAGAATCAGATGAGTGGAGATACTAGTATATACCTAGCCTAGTTCTAAAACAGAGGAGAATCAGATGAGTGGAGATACTAGTATATACCTAGCCTAGTTCTAATACAGAGGAGAATCAGATGAGTGGAGATACTAGTATATACCTAGCCTAGTTCTAAAACAGAGGAGAATCAGATGAGTGGAGATACTAGTATATACCTAGCCTAGTTCTAAAACAGAGGAGAATCAGGTGAGTGGAGATACTAGTATATACCTAGCCTAGTTCTAATACAGAGGAGAATCAGGTGAGTGGAGATACTAGTATATACCTAGTCTAGTTCTAATACAGAGGAGAATCAGGTGAGTGGAGATACTAGTATATACCTAGCCTAGTTCTAATACAGAGGGGAGATACTAGTATATACCTAGTCTAGTTCTAAAACAGAGGAGAATCAGATGAGTGGAGATACTAGTATACACCTAGCCTAGTTCTAATACAGAGGAGAATCAGGTATATACCTAGCCTATATAACAGAGGAGAATCAGTGAGTGGAGATACTAGTATATACCTAGCCTAGTTCTAATACAGAGGAGAATCAAGTGAGTGGAGATACTAGTATATACCTAGCCTAGTTCTAATACAGAGGGGAGATACTAGTATATACCTAGTCTAGTTCTAAAACAGAGGAGAATCAGGTGAGTGGAGATACTAGTATATACCTAGCCTAGTTCTAAAACAGGGGAGAATCAGCTGAGTGGAGATACTAGTATATACCTAGCCTAGTTCTTAAACAGAGGAGAATCAGATGAGTGGAGATACTAGTATATACCTAGCCTAGTTCTAAAACAGAGGAGAATCAGATGAGTGGAGATACTAGTATATACCTAGCCTAGTTCTAATACAGAGGAGAATCAGTAGAGTGGAGATACTAGTATATACCTAGCCTAGTTCTAATACAGAGGAGAATCAGGTGAGTGGAGATACTAGTATATACCTAGCCTAGTTCTAATACAGAGGAGAATCAGATACTAGTATATACCTAGTCTAGTGGAGATACTAGTATATACCTAGCCTAGTTCTAAAACAGAGGAGAATCAGATGAGTGGAGATACTAGTATATACCTAGCCTAGTTCTAAAACAGAGGAGAATCAGATGAGTGGAGATACTAGTATATACCTAGCCTAGTTCTAAAACAGAGGAGAATCAGATGAGTGGAGATACTAGTATATACCTAGCCTAGTTCTAATACAGAGGAGAATCAGTAGAGTAGAGATACTAGTATATACCTAGCCTAGTTCTAAAACAGAGGAGAATCAGGTGAGTGGAGATACTAGTATATACCTAGCCTAGTTCTAATACAGAGGAGAATCAGATGAGTGGAGATACTAGTATATACCTAGCCTAGTTCTAAAACAGAGGAGAATCAGATGAGTGGAGATACTAGTATATACCTAGCCTAGTTCTAATACAGAGGAGAATCAGGTGAGTGGAGATACTAGTATATACCTAGCCTAGTTCTAATAGAGGAGAGGGTAGAGATACTAGTATATACCTAGTCTAGTTCTAAAACAGAGGAGGATCAGGTGAGTGGAGATACTAGTATATACCTAGCCTAGTTCTAAAACAGAGGAGAATCAGCTGAGTGGAGATACTAGTATATACCTAGCCTAGTTCTAAACAGAGGAGAATCAGATGAGTGGAGATACTAGTATATACCTAGCCTAGTTCTAAAACAGAGGAGAATCAGATGAGTGGAGATACTAGTATACACCTAGCCTAGTTCTAATACAGAGGAGAATCAGGTGAGTGGAGATGCTAGTATATACCTAGCCTAGTTCTAATACAGAGGGGAGATACTAGTATATACCTAGTCTAGTTCTAAAACAGAGGAGAATCAGGTGAGTGGAGATACTAGTATATACCTAGCCTAGTTCTAAAACAGGGGAGAATCAGCTGAGTGGAGATACTAGTATATACCTAGCCTAGTTCTTAAACAGAGGAGAATCAGATGAGTGGAGATACTAGTATATACCTAGCCTAGTTCTAAAACAGAGGAGAATCAGATGAGTGGAGATACTAGTATATACCTAGCCTAGTTCTAATACAGAGGAGAATCAGGTGAGTGGAGATACTAGTATATACCTAGCCTAGTTCTAAAACAGAGGAGAATCAGATGAGTGGAGATACTAGTATATACCTAGCCTAGTTCTAAAACAGAGGAGAATCAGATGAGTGGAGATACTAGTATATACCTAGCCTAGTTCTAAAACAGAGGAGAATCAGATGAGTGGAGATACTAGTATATACCTAGCCTAGTTCTAAAACAGAGGAGAATCAGGTGAGTGGAGATACTAGTATATACCTAGCCTAGTTCTAATACAGAGGAGAATCAGATGAGTGGAGATACTAGTATATACCTAGCCTAGTTCTAATACAGAGGAGAATCAGATGAGTGGAGATACTAGTATATACCTAGCCTAGTTCTAAATACAGAGGAGAATCAGTGAGTGGAGATACTAGTATATACCTAGCCTAGTTCTAAAACAGAGGAGAATGAGGTGAGTGGAGATACTAGTATATACCTAGCCTAGTTCTAAAACAGAGGAGAATCAGATGAGTGGAGATACTAGTATATACCTAGCCTAGTTCTAAAACAGAGGAGAATCAGGTGAGTGGAGATACTAGTATATACCTAGCCTAGTTCTAATACAGAGGAGAATCAGGTGAGTGGAGATACTAGTATATACCTAGCCTAGTTCTAAAACAGAGGAGAATCAGATGAGTGGAGATACTAGTATATACCTAGCCTAGTTCTAAAACAGAGGAGGATCAGGTGAGTGGAGATACTAGTATATACCTAGCCTAGTTCTAAAACAGAGGAGAATCAGATGAGTGGAGATACTAGTATATACCTAGCCTAGTTCTAAAACAGAGGAGAATCAGTTGAGTGGAGATACTAGTATATACCTAGCCTAGTTCTAAAACAGAGGAGAATCAGATGAGTGGAGATACTAGTATATACCTAGCCTAGTTCTAAAACAGAGGAGAATCAGGTGAGTGGAGATACTAGTATATACCTAGCCTAGTTCTAAAACAGAGGAGAATCAGGTGAGTGGAGATACTAGTATATACCTAGCCTAGTTCTAAAACAGAGGAGAATCAGGTGAGTGGAGATACTAGTATACACCTAGTCTAGTTCTAATACAGAGTAGGATCAGGTGAGTGGAGATACTAGTATATACCTAGCCTAGTTCTAATACAGAGGAGAATCAGGGGAGTGGAGATACTAGTATATACCTAGCCTAGTTCTAATACAGAGGAGAATCAGGGGAGTGGAGATACTAGTATATACCTAGCTTAGTTCTAAAACAGAGGAGAATCAGGTGAGTGGAGATACTAGTATATACCTAGCCTAGTTCTAAAACAGAGGAGAATCAGGTGAGTGGAGATACTAGTATATACCTAGCCTAGTTCTAAAACAGAGGAGAATAAGGTGAGAGGAGATACTAGTATATACCTAGCCTAGTTCTAAAACAGAGGAGAATCAGGTGAGTGGAGATACTAGTATATACCTAGCCTAGTTCTAAAACAGAGGAGAATCAGGTGAGTGGAGATACTAGTATATACCTAGCCTAGTTCTAATACAGAGGAGAATCAGGTGAGTGGAGATACTAGTATATACCTAGCCTAGTTCTAAAACAGAGGAGAATCAGGTGAGTGGAGATACTAGTATATACCTAGCCTAGTTCTAAAACAGAGGAGAATCAGATGAGTGGAGATACTAGTATATACCTAGCCTAGTTCTAAAACAGAGGAGAATCAGGTGAGTGGAGATACTAGTATATACCTAGCCTAGTTCTAAAACAGAGGAGAATCAGGTGAGTGGAGATACTAGTATATACCTAGTCTAGTTCTAATACAGAGGAGAATCAGTGAGTGGAGATACTAGTATATACCTAGCCTAGTTCTAATACAGAGGAGAATCAGGTGAGTGGAGATACTAGTATATACCTAGCCTAGTTCTAATACAGAGGAGAATCAGGTGAGTGGAGATACTAGTATATACCTAGCCTAGTTCTAATACAGAGGAGAATTAGGTGAGTGGAGATACTAGTATATACCTAGCCTAGTTCTAATACAGAGGAGAATCAGGTGAGTGGAGATACTAGTATATACCTAGCCTAGTTCTATAACAGAGGAGAATCAGGTGAGTGGAGATACTAGTATATACCTAGCCTAGTTCTAAAACAGAGGAGAATCAGGTGAGTGGAGATACTAGTATATACCTAGCCTAGTTCTAATACAGAGGAGAATCAGGTGAGTGGAGATACTAGTATATACCTAGCCTAGTTCTAAAACAGAGGAGAATTAGGTGAGTGGAGATACTAGTATATACCTAGCCTAGTTCTAATACAGAGGAGAATCAGGTGAGTGGAGATACTAGTATATACCTAGCCTAGTTCTAAAACAGAGGAGAATCAGGTGAGTGGAGATACTAGTATATACCTAGCCTAGTTCTAAAACAGAGGAGAATTAGGTGAGTGGAGATACTAGTATATACCTAGCCTAGTTCTAAAACAGAGGAGAATCAGATGAGTGGAGATACTAGTATATACCTAGCCTAGTTCTAATACAGAGGAGAATTAGGTGAGTGGAGATACTAGTATATACCTAGCCTAGTTCTAAAACAGAGGAGAATCAGGTGAGTGGAGATACTAGTATATACCTAGCCTAGTTCTAATACAGAGGAGAATCAGATGAGTGGAGATACTAGTATATACCTAGCCTAGTTCTAATACAGAGGAGAATCAGGTATATACCTAGCCTAGTTCTAATACAGAGGAGAATCAGGTGAGTGGAGATACTAGTATATACCTAACCTAGTTCTAATACAGAGGAGAATCAGGTATATACCTAGCCTAGTTCTAAAACAGAGGAGAATCAGGTGAGTGGAGATACTAGTATATACCTAGCCTAGTTCCTAGTTCTAATACAGAGGAGAATCAGGTGAGTGGAGATACTAGTATATACCTAGCCTAGTTCTAAAACAGAGGAGAATAAGGTGAGTGGAGATACTAGTATATACCTAGCCTAGTTCTAAAACAGAGGAGGATCAGGTGAGTGGAGATACTAGTATATACCTAGCCTAGTTCTAATACAGAGGAGAATCACGTGAGTGGAGATACTAGTATATACCTAGCCTAGTTTTATGTGAGTGGAGATACTAGTATATACCTAGTCTAGTTCTAAAACAGAGGAGGATCAGGTGAGTGGAGATACTAGTATATACCTAGTCTAGTTCTAATACAGTGGAGAATCAGGTGAGTGGAGATACTAGTATATACCTAGCCTAGTTCTACTACAATGGAGAATCAGGCGTGTGGAGATACTAGTATATACCTAGTCTAGTTCTAATACAGAGGAGAATCAGGTGAGTGGAGATACTAGTATATACCTAGCCTAGTTCTAATACAGAGGAGAATCAGGTGAGTGGAGATACTAGTATATACCTAGCCTAGTTCTAATACAGAGGAGAATCAGTAGAGTGGAGATACTAGTATATACCTAGCCTAGTTCTAATACAGAGGAGAATCAGGTGAGTGGAGATACTAGTATATACCTAGTCTAGTTCTAATACAGAGATGAGTGGAGATACTAGTATATACCTAGCCTAGTTCTAATACAGAGGAGAATCAGGGGAGTGGAGATACTAGTATATACCTAGTCTAATTCTAAAACAGAGGAGAATCAGGTGAGTGGAGATACTAGTATATACCTAGTCTAGTTCTAAAACAGAGGAGAATCAGTAGAGTAGAGATACTAGTATATACCTAGTCTAGTTCTAATACAGAGGAGAATCAGGTGAGTGGAGATACTAGTATATACCTAGTCTAGTTCTAAAACAGAGGAGAATCAGGTGAGTGGAGATACTAGTATATACCTAGCCTAGTTCTAAAACAGAGGAGAATCAGGGGAGTAGAGATACTAGTATATACCTAGTCTAGTTCTAATACAGAGGAGAATCAGGTGAGTGGAGATACTAGTATATACCTAGCCTAGTTCTAATACAGAGGAGAATTAGGTGAGTGGAGATACTAGTATATACCTAGCCTAGTTCTAATACAGAGGAGAATCAGGTGAGTGGAGATACTAGTATATACCTAGCCTAGTTCTAATACAGAGGAGAATCAGGTGAGTGGAGATACTAGTATATACCTAGCCTAGTTCTAATACAGAGGAGAATTAGGTGAGTGGAGATACTAGTATATACCTAGCCTAGTTCTAAAACAGAGGAGAATCAGGGAGTGGAGGTACTAGTATATACCTAGCCTAGTTCTAATACAGAGGAGAATCAGTAGAGTAGAGATACTAGTATATACCTAGCCTAGTTCTAATACAGAGGAGAATCAGTTGAGTGGAGATACTAGTATATACCTAGCCTAGTTCTAATACAGAGGAGAATCAGGTGAGTGGAGATACTAGTATATACCTAGCCTAGTTCTAATACAGAGGAGAATCAGTAGAGTAGAGATACTAGTATATACCTAGCCTAGTTCTAATACAGAGGAGAATCAGGTGAGTGGAGATACTAGTATATACCTAGCCTAGTTCTATTACAGAGAGTCATCAAAACAGGTCAGGTTTCCACGACTTCATTTTGCTTATGGTAATGGAAGAAAACTGGCGTGGAATAGCCATTTTTTCTTGATTAAAGATAATCGTCTCTACGCTTAAAACATTAGTTTTATTTTTAAAAAAGTGACGCTTAATCCTTCATCACGTGCAACTTTTCAAAACAATTTATCATTATGTAATTGTTTTAAACTTTTTCCAGATTTAGATTGTTCTGTAAATCCTTGTGATTCCCCTAATAATGTGTGTGTTGATGATGCTGCTACAGGTTACATATGTATATGTGCACCAGGCTTCAGCGGACAATTCTGTGAACATGGCAAGTATCAGCAACCATCAAATTAAAATTCCATAATCCAATAAAACTAATGTGCTTTAACTTCGATTTAATTTATAGTCACAAGAGAGGAAATTAAGTATAATTTTATTTCAAAATCTGTGGCAATTCATGCATGCAATGTTTTGTTTGTAGCAAGTGTCTTTCATATATTTTTTATTTATCAAACTATACATGTACTCTGTATTTAGTTTTATATTGACATTTGAAAAGGATTGAGTGTTGAGAAAGTTCATTGTATTCTAGTAGTGTACTATAATGCAATACTCAACCAATAAATCATTTGGTACACATCTATTATTTAGTCATAGGTACAGTAGAATGTACATTTGAACTTGGTGGAGTATGTTTTATGGACAACATACAGTCTGGCGATGATTTTGATTGGACCTTCATTTCTGTGAGTACTGAGAAATTCCATCTTGTGATTAACTGTTTTTTTTTTTTAAATGATTCTTTGAGGTTTTAAAAATTCCCAGAATTTAAAAATAATTATACAATAATATTTGAAATTCTGCTAACTTTAAATTTCAATGTAATACATAATATATGTTTAAAATAAAGTTTACGGCAGGTCATTGTTTTGAACAATATCAAGCTACATGTAACAAGTTATGAAGGACAATTACGACAGGTTATTCAAACTCTGAAAATTTATTTCTCAGCTGTAGATTACTACATTTGTAAATGATAAGCATGCTTTAAAATTCAAAAAGAGAACCTTTATGAGAGAATTTCTTTTTCATGTCACAGGGAAGTACCCCAAGTAGTGGTACGGGACCGAGTGCTGCATTAGATGGGTTTTTTATCTACACTGAAGCTACTGGAAATTCTGTGGGCGATACTGCCATTCTTACATCTGAGCAAAATTCCATTCCCGATGTTGGTGAGTGTAATGCTTTGTTGTATTAACATTTTCCAAAGAACGAAACATTATCTGTGTCTGCTATGCTTTTGACTATATTGTTTGTATGGACTTCTGAGCTTGAATAATGTTCGTTATCTCTATATCATTCATTAGAGAAATATTTTAGTTGCTTGCTTAGAAAGTTATAAGTAACAAACGAAAAAAATCAATGCAAATAAATGAAACTAATGAAAATTGTGACCGCGTATATGGCGTAAAATAATACCATGCGAAAAAATACTTCTACAGTACTTTTTTGTATCTTTTTATATGGGAACATTTATTCAAAGGTAATTTTGATAAACATTCATACTCTTACATAATTCTTAAAGTACTCTGTGTATATTTATAATTATGAATTTAATTATTATATATAAATTTCCTATTGTATATTTTATGAGAAAAGACTCCATTGTCTTCTTTTCTCCTATAAGAATTCAAGATTTTTGGAAGTCTTAGAAAATGTCTTATAGAAGTTGACATTTGTACCCTATACAAAGAAAAAAATTAATACAGTTTTAGAGGAATAAGATTTTCTTGAATCCAGCCTTAGATACCAATGCAAATGAGCATGACATGAAAAAAGAAGTGATTTGTGGTGTCTTCCAATTAGGGATGGGTATCGCAAAAAATTTCGTATCGCGATATATCACGATTTTCCCCCCAAAATATCACGATATTATCATGATATTTTTAAAAGCAGTTTTTACAATGATTTTTTATGAACAGTCATTATTTTTCTTAAAAAAAATATGCTAGAAAAACTAAATTTTACTTTCTTGAAATTTTTATGTATATGAAATCAATTATGTTTGGACGGTAATATAAGATGCCGTTCTTTTCTCTTTTTACAACATTTTTATACTTTCTGTAATTGTAATTTGAAAGATTGAAGAAATAAATGAATAATTTCTGGACTTTACAATATGTACCTAAAGACCGGTACTTAGGTCTCCGTATCACGATACGTATCACGCAACAAAAAATCGCGATATACCGGTATACCGATAACATCGCACATCCCTACTTCCAATGATAGCAAAAGCCTTTTACCATGTTTACACTATGTACTATAGAATACATGACAAAAATAGAAGACTAAAAAAACCAAATAAGTATAAAACTCATGACAATTAATCTAAATGCCTGGATACATTTCGGTTTTTAACTTAAAATATATTTGTTGATCAATTTTTAATAAGGAAATGCATTGATGATATTCCAATTCGCTTTTTCTACAAAATTTTTGAAGATTTGACAATTTTCCCTATATAATATGATTAACTTTAATCTTTAACTTTAAAGAAATACTGTGGATAAATTTACATAACTTTGTGGATTCAGAGTTACTTTTAAGAGTATTTTTGATTCTTAAACCTGGGGGATCGGACTACCTTAAAATGAATAAAAATATTGTTTTCTTATCTAAAACAGTGTATCACAGAAAACCTTTTTTGTTTGGAAAGTTTAGCATGTGACAAAAGGAAAATTTTAATGCACCTCAGTGAAATCTAATTTGCAATTCTTTTGATTTTTAGCTCTACTGGTCAGAGACCAGAAGAGCTTATGCGATAGTAATGCGTCCGTCCGTCTGTCTGTCTGTCTGTCCGTCTGTCTGTAAACAATTTTTCAAAACGCTACTCCTCCTACAATTTTAGTCTGATTTCAATATAACTTGGCACACAAGTAGACTACACTAAGATACATAAAATAGTGCATCGGTTTTTGATTTCGATGAACGGTGTTGCCATGGTTACTAAAAATAGAATTTTCTGAGAAATTCCTTTAAAACGCTACTCCTTCTACAGTTTTGGTCTGATTTCAATATAACTTGGCACACAAGTAGACTACACTAAGATACATAAAATAGTGCATCGGTTTTTGATTTCGATGAACGGTGATGCCATGGTTACTAAAAATAGAATTTTCTGAGAAATTCCTTTAAAACGCTACTCCTCCTACAATTTTAGTCTGATTTCAATATCACTTGGCACACAAGTAGACTACACTAAGATACATAAAACAGTGCATCGGTTTTTGATTTCGATGAACGATGTTGCCATGGTTACTAAAAATAGAATTTTCAGTGAAATTCCTTTAAAACGCTACTCCTTCTACAGTTTTAGTCTCATTTCAATATCACATGGCACACAAGAAGACTACACTAAGATGCATAAAATAGTGCATCGGTTTTTGATTTCGATGAACGGTGTTGCCATGGTTACTAAAAATAGAATTTTCTGAGAAATTCCTTTAAAACGCTACTCCTCCTACAATTTTAGTCTGATTTCAATATCACTTGGCACACAAGTAGACTACACTAAGATACATAAAATAGTGCATGGGTTTTTTGATTTCGATGAACGATGTTGCCATGGTTACTAAAAATAGAATTTTCTGTGAAATTCCTTTAAAACGCTACTCCTTCTACAGTTTTAGTCTCATTTCAATATTACTTGGCACACAAGTAGACTACACTAAGATACATAAAATTGTGCATCGGTTTTTGATTTCGATGAACGGTGTTGCCATGGTTACTAAAAATAGAATTTTCTGAGAAATTCCTTTAAAACGCTACTCCTTCTACATTTTTGGTCTGATTTCATTATCACTTGGCACACAAGTAAACTACACTAATTTACATATAATAGTGCATCGGTTTTTGATTTCGATGAACGGTGTTGCCACGGTTACTAAAAATAGAATTTTCTGAGAAATTCCTTTAAAACACTACTCCTCCTACAATTTTAGTCTGATGTCAATATTACTTGGCACACAAGTAGACTACACTAAGATACATAAAATAGTGCATGGGTTTTTGATTTCGATGAACGATGTTGCCATGGTTGCTAAAAATAGAATTTTCAGTGAAATTCCTTTAAAACACTACTCCTTCTACAGTTTTAGTCTCATTTCAATATCACTTGGCACACAAGTAGACTACACTAAGATACATAAAATATTGCATTGGTTTTTGATTTCGATGAGCGGTGTTGCAATGGTTACTAAAAATAGAATTTTCTGAGAAATTCCTTTAAAACGCTACTCCTTCTACATTTTTGGTCTGATTTCATTATCACTTGGCACACAAGTAAACTACACTAATTTACATATAATAGTGCATCGGTTTTTGATTTCAATGAACGGTGTTGCCATGGTTACTAAAAGTAGAATTTTCTGTGGAATTCCTTTAAAATGCTACTCCTACAGTTTTGGTCTGATTTCAATATAACTTATCACACAAGTAGACTACACTAAGATACATAATTCTTTGCATCGGTTTTTGATCAGTACAAACCAGTAGAGCTACAGTCTCGACAGAGACTTCTGGTTAATTGTGCATTTATATGTATGTTCCATTGAAATTTTAGGCCCCCGATGTCTTCGATTCTCCTACAACATGCATAGTTCCAATTCCGGTATGGGCACCCTGCGCGTGTTGGCTGGAGACCGAGGCTCGGAGTCCGAGATCTGGAGTCTGTCCGGAAATCAAGGAGATGTGTGGACTACAGTAGAGGTGGAAATCCCGGCGGAAAATGACCTTGTGGTAGGCTCTCTTTTTATTATATTTATATCCATATCTAGGTATGGAGTTTACTCTGCACGTGTGTAGTGACATCATTTATGCTAACTTAGTAGTATATGCGGAGGCTGTCCTTTTCTGACTTATATTGAGTGGTATGTGGTCTTTTATTCTGACTTATATTACTGGTATGTTGGCTATATTTCTGACTTAGTGGTATGTTGTCTATTATTCTAACTTAAATTAATAGTGGCATGATGTCTATTTTTCTAATTTAATGGTATATGTTTTCTAATATTCTGACTTAAATTAGTATTATGTTGTCTATTATTCTGACTTAGTGGGATATGTTGTCTATTATTTTAACTTCAATTAATAGTGGTATATTGCCTATTTTTCTTGACTTAGTGGTATGTTTTCTCTTATTCTGATTTAAATAAGTGTTATGTTGTCTTTCTCTCTGACTTAGTGGGGTGTTGTCTTTTATACATGTAGTTGTTACGGACTGTTTTATTTCTTATAATATGGACTGTGCATTTGCTACACTAATTAGTTGTTAACATTTCCCATTGGTGACATTTCTAATAATTCTGTTTTCTCATTTGACTTCTTTCCAAGTCACTGATATTGCTATATATTTTCTTCCGTCGTCGTGTGTCGTTCGTCGTCCGTTAACATTTTAACATATCTTAAAACTTTTCTGAAAGTGCTCAATCAATTTTGGCATATAGGCATCTATGATTGAAGGGGACAAAAATTGTGAATTTCCTGGTCATTGCCCCCTCCCCCTGGGGCCTGAGAGTGGGTCTAAAAGCGTAAAAATAAATGCAATGATAAAAAAATTCTTTACTCCTGGACGTCAAGCAGTCAAACTTTTTGGTATGATTGTAATAACCACTATGTCCTCAAACAAAATTGTATTGTGAAATTCATGGTCCCAGGATCAGGGGTTATATCATTATGGAGCTCTGTTGAATATAAATTGAAAATGCCTCTGCCCCTGGGTAATAAACCGGTATGTATTTAATTATGATGAGGAAGAGTGCTTTTTCTAATATAATTTCAAGTTCCCTGGAACAGGGGTTCGGTTCTGGTGTTAGGGCGGGGCTCATTTTATTATGTAACTAAAATACATTATTTTTTCTGAAAATTTTCTCCTCTGGTCAGGGGTTTATGTCGAAAATAAAAATCAGGCATAAGATGATTGACAACAGCAATGTTTTACCCTGTCAATGAAAAAGATAATGACATTGACTGACATTGCTTCTAAAATAAAACGATTGAATTTAATTGATAGTATTATTAAGTGATTTTGTCTTCTTGAAAAGTTTCATTGATTTTTAAATATAAAGATTATAAGAAGAATCCTTCAATAATGATATATCTATGTGTCCCTTCAAATTGATTATAACGGTTATGGCCTTTGCATTACTTTTTCCAAACAGAAGACTTTTAATTTTTTTTCATTTGGCAGGTCAAATTTGAGGGTGTTCGAGGAAGTAGTTATCGGAGTGATATAGCAATCGACAGTGTCAGTTTATCTGACTCTTCTTGCAGCTAAGGTAAAGAAAAATTCCCATAATGATAATATACAAGTACATGTACTTCCATTTGTATTTTTTTTTCTCTGTGACAACTCTTTGAAAGTTAGCGGAGTTGATTTCTGGATAATTTAGCCGGAGTGTCAATTAGGCAGGTCGATAGGTCAGGAGCTAAGGAGGCTTAATATGCATGCAGATCTCATGCGCATCTGTATCTGTGTATGACGCCATGGAGGCCAAATATGCATGTACATCTCGTGCAGCTGCCTTTGTGTCTGACGTCAGTGGGCGAGGACTATTAAAATTGGTATGGGAGTCCTCGTGTTATTTAAATCTATCTCTACATTTTTTAAAAATGCACAGCTCTGCGCACTTTTAAAACTCACATTGGAAAAACTTCATTTAAAGTATATGAAAAGACAATTAAATGGACTATGAAGAAAGAATCAATGCATTTTTTCTCTATTTTGATGATAAATGCATTATACAATTGATATTTTGAAGCTTCACCCTCTGCTTTTTTCACTGCTTTTATTCTGTCAGACATGCTATGAACAAGGTCTATGCAAAATTCCTTTTTATCTGAGTACCACATTTGTTGTATCTGTTCCCTGTCTTGGACCGTTCTATTTTCATTTTAGCCCGTATGTTACCTGACCAGAAGAACGTGTCAATAAATCTTTCTCTTTAAAGAAAATTTCTTGTACTATTTGAATTGATTGTTTGATTGTATACTGTTTAACGTCCCTCTCCAGAATATTTCACTCATATGGAGACTTCACCATTGCCGGTGAAGGGCTGCAAATTTAGGCCTATGCTCTGCACTTACGGCCTTTGAGCCGGGAGAGATCTTTATCGTGCCACACCTGCTGTGACACGGGGCCTCGGTTTATACGGTCTCATCCGAAGGACCTCCCCATTAATTGCCTTTTACGACAAGCAAGGGGGTACTGAGGACTTAATCTAACCCGGATCCCCACGGGACCTATTTGAATTGAGACATGGAGCAAGATCTCGTTGAAATATATTCGATGTTTTTGGAAACACTTAACATTCAAAAGTTGTTTTTCAATTGTTAAAATTTTCTTTTTGATATCAGATGGAATTATGTATTTCATATATTTTTACTCAAAGTACCACCTCCATTTGCTCCCTAAACTCCCCAGCATGATATTTGGGTAGGATGTTTCGCAGTTAACTGTGGGCATTCTTTGTCATCTGATATCTTGGCTATTGCAAACGTATATCTTTCCGTTCTTCTGAGAGTAAGGGCTTTTTAGCAGTAATGTAGCTCTTAATTCCATACTTGTTTACAACTTTTTTAAAACCTGGTTGATTTTTCAATCTTTGTCTGCAGTACTTATTATGAATCTCATATCTTGCAACGCTAGGT